TCTTCTTGATTCGTCTTTTAATATGGACCATCGTTCCTATATTCTGAAACATTTAAGTGGACTGGAAAATTTTGGTCTGAACCACGTTATTTGTAATTTCACTTGTTTTGTCGGAAAATAATACACTCCATGTCTGAACATATTTATATATACATTACAATATGTGCATTTGTTAATCTTTTCTGACTTCACTATATGCCAATTCCTGCAAAGAAATATAAATTCATCCATACGTAGCTGGCTATAAAAGTCGCGCACATAATTATCATGAAATTATTATTTCGTGTAATTATTATTATTGCTTCAAAGTGCTTCATAATAATGATTCAAATTGAACCATTATGCGCTTTTTCATTTCCAAGTTCATTTTCTTTCATACATTTGTTTGTTTGTTTTACTTTTCATTCAGACGCTTACTCATCATTTAAAAATTGACACGTATGTTTTTGCTCATTGACATTTTTTTCCAATAAACTAAATTTACGCATTTTATCAAAATAAAAAGAATTACGAATTTCAATATTTAATAAATCGCTATTAATGATCATCAAAATCTATGTTTGCTTAAATTAAATTACGTGTGTGGAGGCGAGTTGATGAACTCTCTCAGGTCTCATTATAATTAAAAAATATCAAGTTCACATAAGAGTAGTACATTTTCTGTTACCAATTAGTACGTTTGATTGCGTTACGTCAAAACAATCGGATACGGTAGTTCTGATGAAAGGAAGGAAATTGCATTTTCATTATTCTCACATTTTCATTAAATATTTGATAGTTGAAGATTCTAATTCTTTATTATTATCTTGCTGTTTTATAGAGATATTGTATTATTTGAGTAGAAATTATGAAAGAACTCAGTTTTCACTATGCTACAAGTATTTTGCTATAACAGTCAAATCCAATAAATACCAACAGAAAGAAATGTTAACGGACATGATAAATAGTAATTAACCTTAATTCCCATTCAATAACAATATCAGTTCATAGAACTACCTAATCAAAAATAATTTTCGTTTCAAAATATCAAATGATGAGAACATTGCTTGAGCTTGGCCTAACTAAATGTGCTATGTATATTCCATTGTATAGAATTCTTATAATATTGATAAATTACATTAATTGTTCAGCTTCTCATATATAAAATTGTATATCTTCTAAGAGTGTTGGCTTTTATTTTAATTATAAGGAAACTGTTAAAAACAATTTAACAAACACAAAAATACTGATAGAAAATATCAACTTTTCCGCTGAATTAAAAATTTGATAAAATGTATAAATTCAAGTCAAACGCATTTTTATACGCAACAATAAACTTCACAAATTTATTCTTCATGATAAACTTCATTTTTTCCATTGTTTCATTTTTTTATAATCAATTTTTTTATAGTCAAATGTTTTTTAAAGATATATACAGTCACATTGAATAATACTTTATTAGAAATTTTGTCAAATTTTCATATATAGCTAATTGATAGATTCTACTTATTTCGCGTTATTTAAATATTGATAGAATGCATTTGTGTGCAAAAAATTGTCAGACTATCGTAAATTCTAACCCACGCTTATTCAATGAAATGCATAAAAATTAACTAAACCAAAGATGTGCAGAAAATTTCCCTGAAACCGAGAAATATCCGGGTTTTCCACGCGGCTTGGTTCAATTGTTCAGAAATCGATATATTCTAAAGCAATCATTACTGCACACCTACAAGCACATGAGTGGTGAAATCTTCAAAATATTAAGAAGCCAAAAAATTTCAAAATTCAAGATTTTTGTTTATTTTTGAGATTCCATTCGAATAGCAACGATTTCAGATTAATATTTCCGTCTCTTTCTCCGCACATTTTTGACCTATATGTATGTCTCGTCTTTGGCATACAATAAACGGGCAAATTTGTAGGAAGACCTTCACGTATGTTCTCATTATTTGTTCAGGTTTCCTAATCTTATGTTTTCTGAACTCTTCATTCAATATTTTACAATCTTATTGCTAATTTTCACTGAAAACTAAACCATGCTATTTATTTTCACTCAACATGCTAATTAGATTCAAAACTATACACTCCATAATTATCGCCGTTTTCTTTTGCCCCCCCCGAACCATCTGATCTAGAAAATAGTGACGTTTCGCATTGAACTTTTTTAAATGGCACCCTTGCGTGAAAAAGGGGGAGAGGGAGTCTTGAAATGCCGATAATTGCTATTTCAAGGTTTTCACAGTTTCGGATTTTTTTCTAAAATTTTGAGTTTCTTTATTTGGAGTCAACTTTGCTTATCTAATTTGAATTTATCGCGACTTTTCTTACAGTGCTTTTTCAAGCTCATTCATATATGAATAACATTTGAGTGTTCTTTTAATCCTCAGTTTTTAATTAAGTCTTTCCGTTTAGGTATAATGAGATACGGTAGAGCGTTGGGATTTGTCGGAGCCCATTAATTCATTTCAAAATATTCATATCTTCCATTTGAAATCTCGCATCCTTTTTTTCGCTGAATTAATTTGATCACATAAATTCTCCATTTACAGCTTATTTTCGTGCCTTGTGAGGCGAAATTCAATTAATTTTGGGTGCCGAAACGATGCTATGACACACAAATTGATGAATATCGTATTCTGGCCGCGGATTTTCGCCCAGTATCGCATTCGCTTACTAGTTTTTTTTCATTCGCCTTGTGCTGCTTTTCAAAAGATGTGAGAATCATTTTTCATCCATACCTAGAATATTTTCATTTTATTTTTCTATTGCGTCAAGTTATGTATAATTTGAGGAGAGATAAAATTGGGACACGATTTCTTTAGTATTTGAGTTGTTTGGCTCTCGAATGGAAAAAAAATTTAGGATTGAATTTTGTATCTTCTAGATGTCATATTTTGAAAGAACGATAATTTTCATGAATTTTGAGAATTTTAACAAAAAGTGCCAACTGACGGAGCATGAAAAAATTCATTTTGTTTTAAGAGACCAATTAAATGAGGCCCTGCGCAATTCATATTTCGCAAATTTTTTGTCAGCGGCAATAACGTAAAGATTAGAAAAGCTATATCATGTTCATTTTCAGAATTGTGGGTATCATTAAATTTAAAAATATGATGTTTCATTTATTTGAATGCTTCTAATTGCTTTTTAAAATTCACTTTAAAATTATCTTTCATTTCATTAGGAAGAATAAAACATTTAGATAAAAGATTATTGTCTTGAGATTCCTATTAAAAGATCGTTGGATTGATATTATTGACGTTTTTCAAATAGGATCTGAAATTAATAAGATTAATTTATACTTTTTAACGTTGTCTAATAGAAATAGACATCCTAACCAGTGTGTCTTTTAAATGAGTTTTCATCATTTTTGTTGCAAACAAGCAGAATTAATAAAAGGAAATCTTGCAAAAAGCTTTAGTTAATTGGATTCAACTTTTGTGAAATCTGTCAATCCGAAACTTTTGTCTTTATTTATTCAGAGGATGAATTCGAAAATTTCGCCATTTGCATTTATTTTTATTGCTATAAACAAACGCTGAAATTCTATTTTATTGGAACACAATTCGAAAGCCATTTTAGTGGTGTATTGACTCCATCAACAAAAAATGTGGGTTTTCGGAAGAATTGAGAGGCATTATTCATTTTCATTCTAGCTAAAAAACGAACTTTAAAAATTTTCTAACACGTTTCTAATTTTAAAGTAAGAATGCAATCAAACGTTGCAAAACATGAAGACTTGAATGAAAATTATTATTTCTCACTGACATATCTCTATTTTCTCCGCGAGTTTTTTTTTCCGAAATAACATAATGCTTCTGTGTGGGAACAACGATCGGCTCATTATTTATGGAATAGTTCTAGAGTTTAGTTTTTTTTCATTCTTGATTTGATCGATTTTCATTCTCTGCGCAAAGTCTAAAACAATATACCAAACGTTTCGATTACAAGATCATCATAAGGGAATGTTTAGTACCTCAAATCTTTGTAATTAAAACTTTTAAATCGAAACGTTGGGTTTTGAACCTTGTGCAGAAAATCAGAAAAATAGTAAACTGAAAAAATCGTATCGTCATACACATCATGACAACGACGCACAAAACCAAAAGGTATCGGATAGCTTTTGGGATTCTAGGTGTTCATAAAAAAAAACTGTATCCTGATATTCAAAACAAAAAAGTTGTTTAATGGATAACAGTTGTTAAATTAAACTTGAGAAATCCCAATTATTCTTAGCAATCTATTGTATATGCAAATTCTTTGTAATCTTTGGCACCCACATGCATATATCCAACGTCTAATTTGCATCAACCCACAATTCCACTCATGTTGCTCCACCCCCCCCCCCCGTGTGTTTCAGGCAAGCCAGACTCATTGCGAGCCAACAAGGCTGTTCAATGAAATTTCAGAGTGCATTGCCTCTTTGTTCCAGCGGACACTATTTTTTGTCTACTTCATTCCTTTTTTCACGCTTTTCACGTCATTTCATTTTGCTCGTCAATCGTCCTCATCGCTTCATTTGTTTCAAGCGAGTCGCGACGCGGCGGCGGCAGCGGCAGTGTAAAAAAACACACCATAAAAATGAAACAAAAAATGAGAACCAAACACCTCTAAATTATTGTTCAGACTCCGCGCATTGCTCACAGATGTTATTGTAGTGAATAAGCGGCTCACATTGTTCCTCATTTTCGTCGCCTGGAACTAATCATCTCCAAATATCTCATATTTTTTAATTTCACTCCTTTCCAGTTAGATTGAATTTTAGTTTTTTTTTCAGAAACATTTTTCGTGTTTCGTGTTCATATCTGTCCTAATATGAATATTCTACATAACGTTTTTTTCCCATATCGGGTCCGACTTCTCTGAGTCAAGATTATCTTCCAGACCAATAAACCTTGAAACCTTATTTTTCCCCACCGAATTAGCGTCCTGTTTATTTACGTTAGCTTTTCTCAATTATTATTATTAATATATATTTACTTTTAGAGGCGTCCACCCGTATGCACTGAACCTCTACTATGCAAAATAGTGAAGGTTTGAAAGGAACAATTTATGAGAATGTAAGTCATTAGGGGACCATGAATCAAGCTTCCAAGGGCTTGGTTTTTTCTTTTCCTCGCTCATTTAATCTGCTTAATAATCTACAAATACTTATAATAATCTTGTAATTCCTTGAAGTACAGAATCGATCATGAGGAACTTCTTAATAATTGCAGTCCGATAATCCTGCAACTATTACGTTTATGTCAATAATTAATCATGACGCTAAATCAAATTATAAAAATGAAAGATTTCAGTTTACGTTAGTGTACGCACTTCCACTATCAAATCATGATAACTCGTCACTTATGCTCATTGCGGGATTCTATGCTTTATTATTCTTATTTGGAACTTGTGGAAACGCGGCAATTCTAGCGGTGGTTCATCATGTCAAGAACCAAGATTCCAGGTATTTTCATTTAACCGATCTTCTAATTTTAGATAATTAATTACCACGCATTCTATGATAATTGAATTTCTTGTGAAAGAGCAGGGTTCAACTTACTCATAAATGTCATCAATATCATAAAATGAGTAATATGAAATGGTCTACATGGAAACAAAAACATTTTATTGCTTTATATCGCTTGACAATTAAAATGGAAATATAAAATTTAGATTATAAAATGCTAATTACAGAACTCGCCACAATACTACTTTAACATATATATGTGTGCTAAGTATTGTCGATTTTTTATCAATGCTTCCACTTCCAATGACAATACTGGATCAGGCAATTCACATTTTTTCAAACATTCAATCAACAATGAGATTTTAGATTCTTGGGTTCTGGATGTTTGATACATTTGCGTGTAAATTGTTCCGATTGCTAGAGCACATTGGGAAAATCTTCAGGCAAAATAGCATATTGAGCTTCGAAACATTTTTTATTTTCAGTACTTTCATTCTTGTTGCATTTTCAATTGACCGATACTGCGCCGTCTGTCATCCTCTCCAGGTAAGGCGCTAACATAAAGAAAAGACAAAAAGCAAGGTGGTAATCAGAGACCATGTCAAGGCAGCAATTATCCACATTTCTTACCGATATAGGTCATAAATCATCAATTTTAGACTCGTGTTAGAAGCGAACGAACTGTATTCATATTTCTCGGTTGCATGTTTCTTGTTACTTGCGGAATGTTATCTCCAATTCTCCTATTTGCTCATTCAAAGGTGATCACTGCAATATTTAGAGCTAATAATTATTATCTTTTAATTATTCTAGGAGCTTATCATGCATGAAAAGTATGATATGGAGCAAGAGGTGATCACACGAATGCATCTTTACAAATGCGTTGATGATCTCGGAAAAGAGTTGTTTATTGTGTTCACTTTATATTCATTTGTCTTGGTAAGCTTAAATGTGATGAACAAGCTATTCCAGAAAAGCTACTCTAATTATGTTTGTTACCCATTATTATAAGAATGTTTATAATAGTTTGTGAAAATTTCCAAAAAAATTTAATTCATTGTCAATTGTCTCGAAAGTACTGAACATCATTGTTTGATCTTATGACAAAAAAAACTAAAAATAACCCATGAATTGCCACATTACGCTTGTTAACGTTAAAAGTTTTAGGCATATTTAATGCCACTTCTATTCATGATCTACTTTTATTACGAAATGCTCATTCGATTATTCAAGCAAGCACGAGCCATCAAACAAACATTGGCTGGAAGGCGCAGCACGGAAGATAAGGTAGAAGCACTATCATAGAGTTTTACAGACGTTCATTTTCAGAAATTGCAGATTCCCGTTGGTCATATCGCAATTTATACGCTAGCCATTTGTAGCTTCCATTTTATATGCTGGTAGAGCTTTTCCAAGGTAGAATACTTCTAATAATCTATTTAGGACACCGTACTGGGTATCTGTCTTGTATTCTCTTTACGAGGAACTCTATCCGTCGAATTCGGAAAATAGAGAACCACCAACTTATGCATTCATATATTTTATGTATGGTGTTCATGCCCTTCCTTATATCAATTCCGCTTCAAATTTCATTCTCTATGGGTTGCTGAATCGTCAGGTCAGATTCTATCATACAGCCTATAAATTTCATAATGTTATTTCAGCTTCATCAATCCTCTGTTCGGAAAAATCAAAGGTCTGGAAATGTTCGAGCAACATCGCACGCAGTTACAACAAATACACGTCCAGAATGCAGTGAACTCATTGCAATACGTGCGTTTCTTTTTGCAATTTTTATACAGCGGAAACTAAAAAATATATGGTAAAGCAGCTTCAATGGAATCGTGATGGTTGGGAAGAATCGAAAACAAATTAATATTCTGTCCTAATAGAGCATTAATTGTCTACGAGACAAAAATATATTATTGTACTTTATGGGTACCACAGCATATTTAATATTCATATTACGTTTATGGATCTATTTGATTAAAATTAATGAAATATAAAACAATCATTATTAGCTTAGCCAATCAACAAAAACTATTTGAAAGAACACAAATTAAGAGACAATTTATAATTGAAATCACTCTCAGTGAGATCATTTTAGCGTCCCCACAGCGAACTGAATCACGATTGTCTGCACTTGACAAGAACGGCCAGGAAGGCTCCGCATTAGTGCATCATACTACCGTACAGATTCGAGTTTACATTCATTTTTTATCGCACACACATTATATTAGCACCAACAAATCAAATTGTCAATTAATTTCACAACATTTTTTATTTAGGACCAGACGATTGTGAATAGCCGTAGCGACATATTGCAATGGATAACGCCGGAAACCGAATCCGTGATTTTGTAACTATTAGTCAGTTTTCTATGCGTTTTATTGTTTGCCAAATCTATGATAATAAATCTCATTGTCGTGTGCTAATTCGTCACCTGAAACTCATTACGTTTAAGCGGATTAGAAATGACGAGGTATTGTTTCCTTGAATCGTAACCGACTTCTCGTAATTATAGTTATAGTGTACAAAAAAATAAGGTCGAATGCTAGGAGGGCAGGTGTTTATAATTATAGTTAGCACTGTTTTCTTTTTATGCTCACGATTGAAAAATCGGTTTTAATTATCAAAACATGAAACGAATTCACTAGAACCAAAAAAATTTTTAATGTTTCCTGAAAATAAATAATTATCTGAAATTGAAAAAAGGCAAAGAAATATTGGCACGCTTAATTGCAATTTTAATTAACAAATAAATACTTTACTTTTAAGCACTTCCTTGAGACGGCTATAAAAAATTATTGTTGAAAATCATTCTGTTCATTTATTTTTCGAATGACAACGGCGATATTGACTGTTTGAGAAATTTCTTCGCAAATTCATTTTTGTTTTTGATTAATCATTTGTACTCTTTCAAAAAATTATTGATAGATTCTATTGTTTTCAAATTTATAGAACATTTCAAGATTGCAATTAGCAGAAGATTTATGAAACAAATTCCAATTCGTTAATCATAATAATAATAGTTGAGAAGAATATAGTGGTTAATAGGTAGGTAAGCGGCCAGGAAATGCTCATTAGAGTCGGCCCCAAATTTGACCCATCGCGGATTTCTTTCATTTGCGGATTATTCGATGCCGTAAATATTTTGATACCATATGCGGCGTATGAAAGGCTATCGGAAGGCTTTTGAGATCAATGGAGTGAACGCGCAAATAACAAAATAGTGGTAATTAGAAAGACATTGAAAATAGGCTATCTTATGTGGAAACTGCCCAAACAGCAATTCATGAAGAATCGTCTACCCTCAATTTGTTGATAACATTCCAGTACATATATGATCATTCGTTATTAATTAATATACGGGCAACATTTCAATCTGCATATTCAATTGATAGCGGTATTGCTACAAACACTTGATGCAAATTTCCGCAAAGTTATCCGCAGCTCATGACCTTGTTCTCGAAAACGTAAGTGTTCGTGCATACAATTAACGTGCACAAGCTATAAAAATGGCGTGCCACACAATTTGACCAGTGTCATAATTCTCAACCGAGCACAAAAATATTGGGCAATTGCTTAACGTGCGCCGAGCGTCTCTTGTTGATTTCTTATTTCACCTGGTTTCTCTTGGTCCCCATACCAGCCATCTGTTGTCATGCGTGCGCCACTTCCGAGGCAGGTGCCATTCTCGGAACGGCTGTCTCGGATTGGGCCAAGAAGCTCGGGTTGCCGCCCTGTCCCCGCCCAACACAACCCTTACGACCACATCCCCCCACCACATGGGTGCACCATGCATCATTTCAAACAAGGTAATGACTACCTATCTCGTTCTTCCGCCTCATTTTCATCTTAACAACATTGTTCTTGCTTGTTTTGCAGAGTGACCCAGACAAATTGAACGCTTCTATGCGAACCCTACGACTTTCACTAGATTCACTGGTTCAAATTCCCTAGTGTTTTTCAAATGTTTAAATGTATAAAAAAATGAATTTTGCTGTAATATTTAGCACAGCAATAACTTTTGAATAATCTTTTAATTGTAGCATTTTTGTGGTCAGTCGAAAAAATTCAATACTCAATCTTAAATAAAAACTGCCGCGGAGAATTATTTTCATATTTTCAGTTGATTTTGTGATTTCTCTCTCTCTCTCTCTGATAACTTCGATATCTCAAAATTTCCGATAATATTTCCTCATAGATTTCCCATTCTTTCCAAATTCCTACATTCCAAGCAATTTATTTGAATTCTCTCCACCAACGCCATTACGGGCCAGCTCTTTCAAAGCATATTGTTCTCGCGCATCATAAACCTCCCAATGTGGACGCAAGACAATAGCAAGTCAGAGATTAATTGGCGAGGTGGTCCGTCCGGCGCGGGTGGTCCTTTTAACGAGAATTGAACCTGAACACCATGGAAACGAAACAATCATGACCCCATATTTGGGCGTCCGCTTATGTTGCTCACATTTTAAACCTGCTTTCTGTTTTCCACTTATTCTCAAATGTTCCTTTTGCAGATGTCATTATTAGATTTTTCAAAGATCTTATTCATACTAACTTGTGTCTACTGCAAAAACAGCCGAGAAGGTTTTGGTTAGTTTGAATTATCGATATTTTCAATGACTTGAGACGAATTTGTTTAGTAAAAGAAGTAGCTTGCTCAGCAGAGAGCTTGACTGTAGTTATAGATGAAAATGATCCAGAGGTGGCTCGCTGGATTTCGAATCCAAAATCTCAACCAGTGGTTCGTCAAAATTCTCACCACAAGCTTTTTTAAACAATAAATTAAGGTGTACGTCTACGGACACAAAACTCGCCATCCTTGCGGAACTTCAATGAAAAACGACAAAGGTTCAACTAATTTTAATCTCACTGTTCCTTATGGAAAAGAGTGCGATGTGATGCTGGTGGATTTGGTAAGAAAATAGAAGAACGAAACGTGAAATTTTCAAATTTTTTAGCAACCAAATCATCGAACCGCTGAAACCACTATAGTTTTGGAAGATAACGCTGATCTCACTTATGCAAAGACAATGCGAATCAACCATGTGTTTTGCTTATATGCCCGAAATGTGCAAACCATTCGATTTAACGACGTGACCAAGTAATTAGGGAATTTGATTCAAGATTAATGTCTTTTTTAATTCAGTGCGCATGAAATAATAGCGTCGACTGGTGGGAAGCCAAAGCCAAAAATCGAGATGTTTTTCCGATCAGTGGACGGAAAACCGTTGCATGCGGCAAAAATCGGAGATGTTCTGGAATTTTTCGTCGCTCTTTCACCCGATTGTAAGAACGCGTTGGCAGTTGGCATCAACAAAAAATATTGGATTTCAGCGGCATATCATGGTGCAACACCAAAAGAGTGCGTCTTCAGCGATCGCGAAGATGTGGATTCTCCCGATGCTCGAAAAATCACTTTCGTTCAAAGCGGGTACATTTTTTGATTTAATGCACCCCGCATGAGCGCTCTACTCCATTTACCGCGCGCGCGCTCGCCAGCCTTCCAATAATTGCTCGTTATAAATTAACTGTCACCTCCCCCCCCCGGTCCCGCGCCGCATGTGTATATGTCAGTAACCTCAAGAAACCTAGTAAAAACTGTGAATTGGCAGGTGTCCGGTTGAAGAGATCAGCGAGATTATTGAGCCGTTAGCCAACGTCAACGACCAGGTATGTCGAATTTATGTCACGATTCGGAATCGCTTCCGACTAGGGGTGAATTAAATGCATGGTTTTAGGTATACTTTTCCAAGTTCAAAACGTTTCGCTTTGGTAATCAGAGCACTGTGTTTGCTCACTGTCAAGTGAACGTTTGCTTGAAAAGGGAAGAATGTTCTACGGTACATACAAAACCTGATACTCTCAAAAACAGATTGCCTTTACAGCCATGCTTCAAGAAAATGACCAATTCGACATTAACTGCTGACCGGCTTCGGTTCCGGCATCGTAGAAGCGCATCATTGATCAAAGAAAGCAAAGACGTCAGTGAGGTGTCTCTTATGAACACACTCACAATTCTGTCAGATTCGGAATCTCGACAAAGTAGATTTTCGAAATCTCATTTGATTCGAATTCGAGGTTTTCAGTTGCAAAATCTTCGTCATTTTCGTCGCCGATCGCAGACAAATGCTCTGTTACATCAGAGTTCTCGAGAACGGCGTTGTGCGTGATGGCTGCTCTTCTCTCTTTGGTAGTCATCTCGACAACAGCAGCTATTTATTTAGCTTGTCGTATTCGGAAGAAGTCGAAAGTAAAAAAAAACAAACCAAATTCGATAACAATTGATTTATTGCAGGAGTCGTTCGACATGCTCTCGGCCTTCACAAGTTCCACCATGGCCGTCTCGGGACCCTATGGTATTCCCTCACCTTACGGGATGTACCACATGGAGCAGCAAACTAGATAATTATTCATTAACGTTGTCTTCTATTGTCTATTTATTCTATTTTATTAATTATAATTTGAAGAAACTTCAGATTCATAATAATTACTCGAGCATTGTATATTGAATATTTGATTGTTAAAATTGATTTTTTTGTTCTTACGTGGTAATTAACCCATCATTTTGAATTTTTTAAGTTTTATTTACCTTCCTAAACTTTTTGAAAATAAAATTTAATTATTTGCAAAAGATGGTTGTGATTTTAACGACATTTAGAGATTTAGTGAAAGTCTTTCAAACTATACTAACAAAACCCGAATGGTCATATTATAAAAAAAAAACTGGCACGTCTCTAAATGATTTCAATGATTTAAATTCTATAATTTGAAAATTGTAACTATTTGAAAGGAAAAATGAGTAAATCTGCATTGAATCTGCGTGATTAAAAAACTTATGGTATTGTGCAGATTTTTGGACGAAAATTACTAAAACGGATAAAACTTTGATCTCTTTAGATTTTCTAGAGATTTAGGTGAATTCTTTGCGAAATGTTCATAGTAAAATTTGAATTAAAAACTGTGACTCTTTCCGGTTCAGAATGAAAGTTCAGAATGACATTTCCAAATATCTTACTTACAGCTTGATCCTTTTCTCCAAATATTACAGGATGATTACAATAGGTATCTTTGTATTCAATTTCAGTTTATTCATTTAATAACGCAAAATCAACACAGGATAGTATATAACCATGAGAAAAGATTTGCATTACGTACATGCAATACAACACAATAAATTAAAAAATAGCATTAAAATTCGATAATGAAGACTTAAAAAACACAAACTTAAAGCAAGCACGATAGGAGGTTTCAAATGGAACATAACCATCCAGTTTAAAGAAAAATTTATGTGTAGAAAATGATTTTGATTAATATTAAAGCATTATGAATAGAATGCAGATATGATATCTTAATTTGATGTCCACGGACTCGATAACCAGTCTGTTAGCCGCCGTTCTATCTTTAAAACAAAACAAATTTGAATGGTAGAAAGAAAGTCGAGAAATGTAGAATACATTCTCATTTGGCATATAAATAAAAATTACCTGATGAATCAATAGAAACGAGTCATATGGCAGAGTCAATAACTTTTAGAATCTAAATTGCAAAGCAAAAAATCGAGTTTTTAAACCAATGTTTTCTTACGAATCTTTTCATTAACGGATTATTTTTAACTGGGTGCTGCCCAAATCTCGACATTTTGATCAACTGAATAAAAGAAATTATTCAATATGTTTAATTTAAAAAGACTACTTTGAAAAATGAAGTCCTTTCGAAAGGTGTTTGGTTGTTACTGCTAACTGTCTAAGATGGCATACATTTATTATTAGATAAATGAATATAGTAATTTCTCACTTCGGAAGCAAAGTTCATTGCTCCGTTTCCAAATCCGACGTACTGGAATGTGCCATACCAATAAAATGTTTTAGCCACTAGCTCATTTTCGAAGCCAATCGCCTGAAATTCATTCATAACCTCAAATTTGGCATTGTATGCGTTACGTGTGCAAGGCCGACATGAGACAGAAGAATCTTCTGGGCAACTCCTTCATGCGTTGTCTTCTTTGTATTTTTTATGAAATTTGGGCACAACGAGAAGTTGCACTTCATTTTGAGAAGATTTTCTTCGAGGTAAAATTCGGGAGCTGCCAAAACTTCCGGTCGCTCAAACCCAATGCTGTATAAAGCATGACACCAACTTCGATGAATCTGAAACCAGAAATTGTTTGCAATAAATCGGAATGCGCAGCAAACTCCGATAATGGAAAAGACAGCATTTTCGCCAATTCCAAATTGATTAAACGTCACCGTGTATCCGATTTTCAAAGGTTCGCCATTGATGTCCATATAAGGAACTCGAAAGCGTCCATCTCAAAATGTGTTCATATCGAGAATTTCAAATTTTCACTAACCGTCCATTTCCACATATGGGGAATAAATTAGAAAAATACCGTCCTTTTCTTCGACGACAACTCCAATCGATGGATGGCTCGCTTTCAGAGTCGGAAAACAGAATTTGTCCTAAAAATGTGAATTTCAGCGATGTTTAATAAACGTGACTTACTAGAATCATATTGGAACACAAAGGATGTTTCTACGAACCTGGAATATAAATGTGAATGAATGTGGTACAATGTGGTAAACGAGTGGGAAAATGTTGCGCTACATTATAGTGTTGAGAGGGGCATTTATATTTGATAGATCTTTCTTTTTGATAAGAAATAACGTAGATCAAAAATTTTTTAGCACGAAAAAGTCAAAGTGTTCTTACTTGCTTAATTAAGAAGACATTCAAAAAGGTTGGTCAGCGTACTGACGGTAACGATTTTCATACAGACACGCGAAATTGCGCAGATTCGAATTTTTTTATTGAAGTGTACGACTCGTTTTCTGAAGTTCAAAGTTTATTTCTATGCAAGGGTTTTCACTATGTAGGTTTATCACTAACATGTAAGTTTAAATGTCATTGCTTAATTACTAGATTTTTAAGAAACTCAATCTCAATATATAAATTAGAGAGAGAGAAAGAGTAAACTTAATGGAGTGAATATAATCCAAGGCGTCACATCCGCAAGAAGGGCATTATACATTTATAAGGAATAAAATAAATAAATAAAAATATTGAAGTAAGTGTTAGTTGTTGGACAATATTACAAAGTGCGTTTTTATTTTATTTTCTATGACGTTTTAATAATTTTCCGAAAGTTTCATGAAAATCTGTATTTCAAAAAAGACAGCTGATTCTATTCATCATGCGGCAATCATTGACTTGAAAAAAAGGGAACATCATTCAAGATGATTTCTAAAATCCTTGGAGTTCACCGTACAAACAACTTGTAAACGCTTTGATGAGATAGGAGGACTCTCTAGCTGTCCTAGAAGAGGAAGAAAACATTCTTTAATAACATCGGAACGAGTTAAGGTCATCAGGGAACGAGTTCGTCGAAATCCAGATCGTAGCATCAGAAAGATGGTGTCAGAAGTCTATGTGAGTCTGAGATGGTGGGAAGAATTATCAAAGATGAGCTGAACCTGATACCTTATCGTGTCAGAAAGACCGCCATTCTAACCGAAAAAATAAAGAAGATCGAATGAAATAGTGCAAATCGCTCCTAGCTGGCACGCGACAAGGAAAACACCTAACGACTTTCGTCATGGATGAGAAGCAGTTTACGGTAGAAGCTGCTTTCAATCTTCAAAACCACAGAGTGATCGCCAGAAGGTCTGAGGAAGCTATGAACAAAGACGGAACCATTCATCGTGTTTCTAGATCATGGTATTCGGTGGGATCTGTGCTGACGGCAAGACACCACTGATTTTCGTTAATCCCGAAGTGAAGTTGATCAAAATTACTATCTTAATGAGATCCTGAATCGAGAGGGAAGAATCGAACAACAATAATTAATTTGTGATTGTTATGTGTTGAATAAATCATGGTATTAATTTGAAAGAGTTTTGTTGATTTTTTAAAAAAGCTATTTTGTTTTATCGATGCACCCGTAATTTTGCGGCACCCTGTAATCCTGTAATTACATATAAATTTTCCTTGTGTCTCAACATATAAGTAAACCCTGTTTTAGAAGCGCAAATTGCGTCACAAATAAGCATAGTCCGGTAAGCTATGTAAGTGGGTTGTTTTAACCATATGCGTGTTCGGAACGGTAACGTAGAAATTTTTAGAAATTATGATTCTTCTATATATTTATGTGTTCTTTCTATAGCTGATTTCATATGGCTGATAAATATTCAAAAAAAATTGGCTCTGTGCCGTCTCAAGACTGATGTGTCTGTGTACTCTGCATTTCAACGTTCGCACATTTAATATAGAATAAATTTAAAAATTTGTAGATTGACATAGATTTTACGAAACTTAATATCCAGCCACCGATTAGTCATTTAAATACTACGAAACTAGTTGTAAAAAAGTTATATGAAAAAGTTACGAGTTACAAACCGATTTAAAAATTTATATAGTTTTAAATTTAAAAATCTTCAAAAAGGGTGTTCATATGAGCTGTATGTTCTCGTATTGCACCCATAAATCATAAATCTCCAAACCATTTATTCAATCAAATTTGTCAACAAAACATTTTGATCTCGAGTAAATACATTAATAAACATATTTAAAGCAAGCTCAAAATGAAAGGTTTCCCTGAGAAACCTCTAACACAACCATCCAATTAAAAGGAACAATTAATAACATTTGAAGATCATTTCGATGAGTCTTTGGAAAAAAGAAAAAATGCAAAATATATTTCTTTAACAATTTGATAATGTAATTATTTTTAAATAAATTAATTATGATTGAAGTGGCTGAATCGAGCTGTCAGCTTTTAATGACACCTTCGAATCCTGATTAATCATTTCTTTGGCTTTGTCCGCAGCCGCTCGATTTCCGCGTTCCGCTTCCAATCTCTTGTACACTGGCTTGAAGAGTAAAACAAGAACGAGAACCAATAATGCGGCGAGAAGAGAAAAGATCTAAATGAAATCAGTATTCGACTTTTTCTCTATCTCTGTTCAACCAACCATGATTGACATCGTGTTATCTTTCGGAATGTTGGCGGTGTCGTTAGAATCGACTTGACAAACCTGCAAAACTTTGCAACAGTGACCGAAAATTTTCGTTTTTTCTTACCTGGATACTCATTTTTTCTGGTTGAAGTGGTCGCGCAAAGTATTTCATGACAAAAACGTAGATAACGCTTTGCACTTGACCGGAAAGGACGATTAGACCCGTTGATGTCGCTTCAGATACTGGATACGTGCATTCTGAGGCAAGTTCGAGACCGATTGGATATGTGGCAAGCCCAAGAACACCAAAAAGCAAGCACGTGAGAGCCAGAGGAATGGAGAGCCCTGTATGAAGAGTGAGCTGCAGGAAGATGAGCCCAAATATCACAGCCACTCCTAATCCAATTTTCAACGTCTCCTCATAAAGTTTCGTTTTATCGACAAAGATTCCTGCAAACACGCTCAAATTGAAGTGAACGATTATCGAGTTCCATCAGATTACCACTTGCAGCAGCTCCGAATACACCTCCAATAATCATCAGTGCAGCGCAGAATCCCGAGAATGTGTTCGAATATCCAGATGGACAAAGAAGTTCAAGCATAACAGTGTAAAGGCAATTGAACATTCCAATTCCACCTCCCATGACGAGAAGAAGAATCAAATAGTTCTTTGAGGAAAAGCACGCTTTCATTCCTGAAATTGATTTATTGCTCTACATATATCGCCGTCGTTAATATGTTTTCTTTTTTTGGGTCGTGAAATGTTCAACGGAAAATCATTAATCCGGCCCATATGTTTGAAGAGGTTTACCTGGAAGGAAATCCATTTGAGGTTTGCTTGCACTGTAGGTTGGTGGAATCTTGGGCTCGCTTCGGTTAACACCAATCTGGAAAAAAACGCTCTAATCACGAGGTCTCCAATTTCTTCGCATACCGTAGCGATTAGCATTGCAGCAACCGACGGAACCATAGTGAATATGTTCAACCAAATTATATGCTCCGTTGACTGTACAATTCGAGGGCTGATAAGGTTGGCCATAAGGACTCCAAGTGGGTTAGACATCACACCGATAGTGGTGGCAATTGCTCGCTGGTTCTCGGGGAACCAGGATCCAGCAACCTATAAATAATCAAGTTAAATATTTTTTAAATTCAAATAGATTATAACCTTTGTCGGAAGGAACATGATGAATGGATAGGCAATTGCAGCAATTCCTTGACCGGTGAGAACAATCGGGAAACGCCATTCTTGCGGAACGAAACCAAGTGAAGAAATCACACGAATAATGGATCCAATTCCGTTTGTCCATCCTGAAAAACCAAATATAATTTTTTTAGCAACTACAAATTGTTAAACCAGCAATCAGGATAGCAGTGCGCATTCCCCATTCACGACCAGCCCACATGGCGAAGATCCCCACGGGAATAGTGCAAATCATAAATATCATGGAGAGCCTACAAATATTTTCGAAAATTTCTATTGCGATAAAGCCGAAACGCCACACACCAGCTTGCACTTCCTTCGCCGTAAAATGTGTTGACGTAGTTTCCTGACGGAGCATATGAAATCCAAGACATCGTATTAGTGTTGTTTAGAAGAGCAATTGCAATAAGCACAATCCATCGGCGTTTGTAAACCCTGAATATATGCAATGATTCTAATTGAATCAAGTTTCAAATATTTACTTGAGCTGAAGTTGCTCATGCGCTTCTTCGTCATCAGCGGCGTTTTGATTCATTGATGTCAATTTGATGTCCAAATTCTCGACAGCGAGTCCGTCAGCCGCCATTTTACCCTTGAAAACGAGACAAATTTGATTGAAAAACAGTAAAAACGTGAGAAACGATGAGATCGAGAAAGGAAAGCGCGTGCGCTTTTTGTTTGCATTTCAACTGACTCAAACTTTACGATGCTGAACATTTCCTTGCGCGGTGGGAATCGAAAAAACAAAATCTTCTTTTTTTTGTCGCGGCGTGCAATCATTGAAAACACACTGCGAAAATTTCGTTTTAGTATTGAATGACGTGTCCATCGCCCTCCCAACGGTGTCTTTTTTTCAGGATGATCGACAAATTTAATAAATGGACCGAAAAGAAATGCAAAATGAGAATGCGGTCAAACAAAAACAAGTAGAGAAGAAGGGTCTGCAGCGTGTCAATGCAAACAGAGCTCACCGGACGAAACATTGTGCGTTGTGCGGAGGAGAAACAACATCGCGACAAGACACAGTGAGTGGCAGGGGGGGGAGGGGGTAGCGGCGATTCAAATAGCGATTTTGGACGGGTATACGTACAGAGTAATAGTTCAAAATATTGAACGACGTTAGAGATCAAAAATACGGGAATTGTTATTGACTACAAATAAAAAACAATACATTGTATTTAAAAATTAAACATTTTCCTAATTGGCCGAGTTTTAAAGCCGTAATTTGGCCGCGAGAATCGCGTCCTTATCAATTTATTTCGTAATTAAATCGATAGGGTTGAAATTTTGGAAGAAGACGTAATTTTTTTTAAAGAGATTTTACTGCTTATTAGCTGTTTCAGAGCTTAGTTGTTTTGATAGGTAGTTGAAATGCTGTTTCACCTGGATTTGTTAGGCAGTTAGAGAGAAATTTGCGAATTGCACGATGAATAAAGTCAATGCGCCGCATTATGGAAATATTTCGAAAAGAAATGAAACCTGCAACAAACTCAAGGATGTAGACGGCAGAGGAAATGAAGTTGGGAGAGCCAATAAAGAAAAAATGAGGATGGTTATGCGAATAAGTAGTTCGGCCTCCACGCGTCATAACAACGTGTTATTATTTTGGCGCGCAATTGCACTCATCAGTGATATTACTACGCGCGATATTCATATCTGACTCTAGTATCTCCAAATGCGTTGGGGAATTGTTAAGCCCCTTATCAAGAGTGATTGACATTGAAATGAGCCATAAGGCCAGTATCAAATTGAAAAGCGTCGTAGTGAGAAAATAATTGAAAATTAATGACAACAAGAAGAATTGAAAATTTGTGAAAAAAAATATGACGAATTCCGTCAATCGACACCTTTTTAAAGGAATAAAATACACAGATCGAAAAAAAGCAATCCAAAAAAAATATTGCATTTTCGGAACATGACAGAGGCAAATTGTTTCCCCTGTGGTTTCAACCATTCCTTTTTATACGAAAAATTCTCATTTTTTCTGATCATTATCAAACGCTCATTAAAATTTTATGAGATTTTCGCGTTTATAGAGTTCCGAAACATTTTTCAACATTGAAATTCAATTTTTGACATCAAAATATTAATTGAAAAAAACAAGGACTTTTGTATTAGTCCAATTTATTTATTAGGGGTGAAATTATTTGGATGAAATATATTATGAGCTACTCAGTAATTCTACAAACTACTCTTATGTCAACAGAGCAAAATTCCTGGAAGTTTTCAGACAAGTCTTTTCATTAAAAAAATTAAATAAGAATTTTTAAAATGCAAAAAATTACCAATAACATGAGGAAATGAGACGGGGGGGGGGGTGAAAAACAAGTTAAATATTTCGGAAAAATTAGAGTACTTTTTGTAAGGATTTCTGTCACAAAAGTGATTTCTCAGCTTGCGTTTCTTTCAGGTGTATCTCGAACGTTGTCAAACAGTGTAAAATGTCTTACGTGTTACGCTAGAATAAAACAGGGGCAGTTCTTTTTTTCAAATGTGGCAGACCGCTTTGGGAAAAAAAACGCTCATTAAAAAAAATTGTATTGCTTATACACCATGCACGAAAAAATTGTTTTTCGGCAACTTTCTATTTTAAGGATCTTTTTTTTCAGTTTAATAGTATCAAAATTGTTTCAAGAAGCCATGTAGAGTCGTAGATAGGTTATTTTGCCCTAAAACATTAATATTTCAATTTTTTAAAATTTACGATTTTCCCAAGCACGCAATCTTTTGTTATGCAACCATTGTTTGACGCAATGAATAGATGAACAATAGGAGCCTTATTCAATCTTTTTATGGGAATTCGAAGCATTTATTTCGAAATTCAAAATTTTTTTATATTTGCATTTGGTTGTTGGATTCTCCTGCATTAATACAGTGGAATATACATTATTACAGAGTTAAGAGGAACACGAGAATTATCAACAGAGTATCACTTCCTGAAACCGACGATGCTTCTGATAGTATGAAATTCTCAAATATACCTTTCGTGTCTCTGATAATATTGTCGAAGACAGACAACACTCTCTTTTTGTTTATTAATGCAAAAATAAAAAATATTACATGCGCCTTTAATGGATGCAGTTTTGTATATCTTTGAAACACTGAAGCGAGAAAAGAGATCATAACGCCTCATAGTAATTTTTACGCTCCGTCGCCGGAAGTTCTTTGCTTTTGATAAAAAGAGATGCTCATAAGAAAACTTTGAAATTGTTCTTCCCTCCTCATATTTATGCGTCATGTATATTTACAAACGAGATATAAAAAATCTGCGACTTTTGTTTCCTCATCATCGTTTGAGCTTTTGTGAGCCTTGACATATGGTCGAAGAACAATGCGCTTACAACTTGTCAGGTGCATTCCAGCTGTTCGTTGCCGAACATATCAAACAATAGTGTTAAATTTATCCATATGGTGAATTCAAAAATCAAAAATAAAACTAGAAACCGTTTTTCTAATATGCAAAAGATTGCAAACTACTCGTTTCTTCAAGTAACCTCAGCACTGTGTTATTTACTGATACTGCCAAAATGTGAATCGACGATGCAAACTTTTCCTTCCGTGAAAAGTAATAAAAAGCATATAAAAATGAAACTCTGCGAAGAAAAGAAGAGGGAATCGCGGTAGACAAGGAAACGTCTATTATTGTTTGATTTCAAAACGGAACTTGTGCTGTTTTCATTTTAATAATTTTTTTCGATTTATTGCTCTTAAGTTTATAAAAAGGACTCAAGAAAAAGTAACAACAACAGTGGAAAACAACAACAACCAACATAAAAACAAAAATTAAAACAAAAAATTGGTAACGTGTGCGAATACTCTAGACAATATCGATGCGATCGGAAATATAGTAGATTCCCGTAACCGCCATCTCGACATTCTCATCATTAATCTCGGCATTCAACTCGGCATGACTCAGGGGGACTTGGGCATCGCCAATATTTGCCTCAGGTTGAATGACATTCATCTCCATGTGTTCGACATTCGGCTCAGCATTAATGATCTGCATCTCGATGTACTCGACATTCGGCTCAGCATTAATAAGCTGCATCTCGATATGCTCGATATTCGTATTGGCCAACGACTCGCCATTCCCATTCAACAACTCTTCAATCTCCTTGTTGCGCTTTGCAAGCTCAGACTTCAGAATATTGCGCATCAACTTTTCACCAAAATAATTGGAGAAATCGAACACTTTTTTAATAACCACAAGAGTATCAAATCCAATGCGATTTTGGATCTGTTGAGCCATAGGCAATGAAATCGTATTTCCATAAATCTGCAATTTTTTTTGGTTATTAAGAAATGAGGCATTTTTAACTATACTTCTTTCATAAGCATTTGTAGATAGGAATGATTGAAATAGCGTCTAAGGCATTGAATGATATCATAGCTAATCAGAAGAGCGAGGAAAACCATCCATAACACATCCAGAGCACACACTAGCTCTTCGAATTCGTTGAACAGAATTGTACATGGAAATGTATAATGTCGACGATCTTTGACAACACTACAGTAGGCACTGTACGGAAAATTAGTCGTAGTGAAATTTGAAGGAGTCGAAAATATGCGGCTGGACAGAATCTGAATTTTTTTTTGCAACCACAAAAATTAATTCTAAATAATGATACCTTAATGCTCCAAATCGTAGTATTTTCCTGGCCAACAATTTTTTTCAATGTCCAGAATTGGAGCATTACAAATCCAAAATACAGCGATTTCATAAATGTGGAATAGACCAGTAACCTGTTAAAAATTAGAATTTTTATTTTAGTTTAAAAGAAAAAATACCAGGATCGACTTCGAATCACAGGAACAACGTCAATATTTGTTAGTACAATTGTGTCCAACTCTTCATGTCCCATTTTATTTGATTTATTAATGATATCCATAGTTTTTATATAGTAATTCTCCATCAAGCAACCTAATATTTGAATTTGCGTAAAATGGTTTATATTATGTGTCGTTCTTACCAGCGGCCGTTCGGTATATAACCCACATAGCTATGAATACACCAGAAACTATTATTAAACCGAACATTTTGCTGGCTGTATTATTGGTGTACTCACTAAAGCCTTTTTTACCCTCCATATCCAGGTGAAGATGGAATTTCGCCAATATCCAGCATTTAATGTTGGAATATTGCGACCAATCACCATCATCATAAAATCCGGGGTTTACACAATTCACCGGCGTACTAAATTTTTTGTAGACAAGCATGCCAAGTATCACCGTCGTGAACAGCGGCATGACGATGGTGCATAAAAAGCGATACACGAAATAGTTCCCAAAATAGGGAATTGTGTACTTGCGATCAATTAGAGGCATAGTTTGAGTTTTGGCTGAAAATAAGATCTCAACATAGAAAAAAAAACAAATATTTAGGAAAAAATAGAAAGCTAAGAGAACCTATCGATGAGATCAGATGCCTTTCGGCACAAACCGATGAAATGAATGTAGCACTCTCAAAGTTTGATGCCGCACGCTTTGGCCACGCCCCTTCGCCGTACAATCTCATTTGGCTCCACCCCATTTCGTCTTGATAAAACCATAATGTGATGATTGGTACCTCAAAAATAATTATAAGATGGTGGTTAAGATATTAGTTAAACATCAATACAGCATATAAGTGAAGAAATGAAACCGCTTGAGAGAAACCGATAAATATCTGGAGATCAACGTTTTTTCTAGAGTAAATGATTCGCTCATTGATGTTGGATCGTAATTTATCCATAAAAAGCATTGTGGTAAATAACAAAATGTTTGAATATATTTGAGATGTCATCACTACTAGCAGGGTCTTCACCTTTTTTGCTTTATTGGAGTATCAAATTCCGTCACGATTAATTATGAATAGTAGACATCACATATCAACACCCTCGCAAATTTAGTAATTATTGAATTGAATGATTAAGATTAGAAAATGAACACGTTACCAGAGATGAGCAGCGATATTCACAAAACGAAATAGATTGATGGTGTGAACGATATGATATACCCCTGAAATATAAAAAACATAAACTTTTTTTTACTTAAAAGAAATGAATATTTCCATTGGAGAATTACATCTGGCATAGAATGAAGCAAGATTTAAAAAAAATTATAAATTGAATCGCACCTTAGTTTTTCTGCAACAAAATCTCGATTTTCCATCCTTATTGCATTTCATTATGTTTCTTTCATCGAATTTTCCAGAAACGAAGTGACAACAGAATGCCCGAATCTCAGGCACCACCACTCACTAAAGTTAACAATGCTATTGCGCATTTGTTGAAGTGTTGAAGTCGATCACTTTACTCCGGTATGGAATGCATTAATCACTGTTACAACTGAACTGTTACAAGGTTGTGAGCAATATTCGCATCAACCATATGGCAATTAAATAGAGCCGTTTCACTACAAAAAGCCTCAAACAAATCTGTTGGGTACGAAAAAAAACAGAAGCGAGTTTTTACTTGAAAGTGCAGACTGGAGCATTCGTAGCAATCAATAGCTCGAACATCTGCAGAAATAGAAGCAGCAGAACGTGTTTTGGTACCCATAGTCACTACTTGCGCAAGAAGTAGGAGGTCTAAAGAGGGGAACGTTTGCAGAACCCAAAACAGCAGGTGCCATCGTCATGATCCTACTGAACATGTTTGGGTGACTAAAAAGACAACAAATTTCATAACTTCCCAAAAAACGCATCATTTCCAAAAAAAAACATCAAGATTATTTATAAAAGAACATTTCAATTTCTCATATAAATCCTACCATCAATTTACAATTTAGGGGCTTTTTGAGCACTGGGTGAGTTAGTCATTTTCAAACTCAATCATACAAACCTCACTAATGAGTTTATTTATGGCGCTTGATAAAGCTTAAACATAAAGCTAAATTGCTATTGGACGTATAATCAAAAAATAATAACCCTTAAGAGGGCCGTTGGAATTCGTGTACCGATTAGCCTGATTCGGCCCAAAAAGGACCGAGTCAGTTGATCTCCTTCGCCACGTAGAGGCTCGGTACTTGAAGGAGAGGCTCACCAGCATCAGGCCGAAACCTGATGTGGGTCATCGCCGATCCCACCATGGGGATCACACAAGGACATCCCACAACTATCATCCGAGGATAATAGAAGTAGAAGTGGTTGTGCAAGCCACGTCTGGCTGGCCCCCGGGTCTACTGGTGATATGGTTATGTGGTTTGTGTCTTCTCAGCACAGCAGCTTACTACTAAGTAGTAGCAAGCCACTACAAAGTAGCAAGCTACTATGCCAAGAAGCACAGTCCATGTGCACCCGAAAGGCTGGACATATTGACATAGCTGGCCAAACCACGTCAATATAGGTCAGGTCCAGATGACATCCTAACTAGTATGGAGGACACCCGGTGAAGCAAAATTCTAAAACTTAACCATCCATAACGCCCACTAGCAAGTACTCGAAAATACTTGAAACGGGCGTTTGGGTAGGGTTCGATTCCCGGCTACGGAATCAGGGCTGAAAGGCTTGCCAGGCCAATCACCCGAATTTAGGATACAGCGGATAAGCCGCCATCCAGCCAACGCCTCGGCACTACGGGGGATGAGGAAGCCTTGACGTTTGGGGAAATGGCCGACTACGGCCCTAATATGGCCGACTACGGCTCTAATATGGCCGACTACGGCGAATTAAGTAGAAGAGGGGTCCTTAGTATGGCTAATGCTTAATGGTGAGGGGAGATTTAGTTGTGGTGGTGAATCGATTCACCTTCAGAGTCCTTAAGTCGGCGGCGGCAGAAGCAGCGACGGTACCTAAACACCTAAACACCTAAACAAATACATATGTACACAGAAATTAATACGAATAAAAAAATTACAAAACGGAAGGGGGAAGCCAGTCATTAGTGGAATGGCTGGCATGGCCGTAAGTGGTACGACTTTCCCCCCGGAAAAAAGAGATGGTTGGTCCCAAACGGTAGGACCGAGAGAAAGAGAGAGAATCCCAAGTGGTGGGATATAGTGGAAGAAGCCGCAAATGGTACGGCAGGGGGATCAGTCGACTGATAGAAAAAAGGAACAGTCGCAAGTGGTACGACTGGTGGTAGAAAGGGGAAGGGGAAGCCGGCATTCCCGCGAAAAAGAAGAGATGGTCCCAAACGGTAGGACCGGGAGGAAGTACAGACGTAAGTGGTACGAATGTACGGAGAGGAGAGACGAAATCCCAAGTAGTGGGATATAGAGAAGGAAGTCGTAAGTGGTACGACTTGAGTAAATGAAGAAAATAAAAAATAAGTAAAGCAAAAAAGAATAATTAAAAAAATACCAAAAAATACCAAACACTCGGCGTTTTTGCCCTTCCTCGTCGGTCCTTTGAGAGATCGCCTTTGATTAGATTCATTCGATACCAGATTCCTACAATGATTCCAGTTATTCTGATAGATGATGATTTCTTCCTTACTATTCAATTCCGTTTCCTCGCTCTACTCGATACCCCTGGGAGCATCGACCTTTCGCCATTCCTCTTTCTTGCTCATCTTCACGTGACATGTCTACTCATGAATGTGGGTTTAACGTCGGCCTGGACGCGACACTGCAGTAGGGTTAGTACTGGCTGACGGAGTCGCACCAGTCGAGAATCCCCGACACTTTCAACACATCGCATCCGAGAAGCTTGAATGAGAAACGACTGCGGCCCCATCGGATCTGCAATACGCGAAATTGAGAAAAAGGATTGCAATGAATTTGACTTACCTAATGGATCCTTAGCCACGCCGAAACCGCAGGAGATGCGGTGACGGTCAGCCCACAGAATATGCAGGCCACGACGAGGAGCCCGCAGGTTATGCGGGGCACGACGGGCCTGCATTATATGCGGGGCAGGACGAGGAGCCCGCAGGTTATGCGGGGCACGACGAGCCCGCAAAATATGTGGGCTGACCAAAAAAAAAAGAATGACCAAATTGCGTATTCCGCCGGCTATTTATAGTGCCACTGGTGTCGGTGAAACGTATGCAATGGAGCGCAATTGTTGAAGCGAACTGCAAATCGACGCCAACAGTTCATAAACCCTCTTATTTTCGAATACTCTCTAACTTTGCAGAGGGGCGGAGCTTAGATTTTGTTATTGCAGATGGTTATAATGGAGCATAGTTGCATCAAGGAAACATCTTAATAATTTCGCGCTGAGAGAAGAAACCTTGCAACATAACACTGATGGTCGTTGATTCGATTCCCCGCTTGAGCCAAATATTTCTTGCGAGTGTGAAAAATTGAAATAGTGGAAAAAACTATGCTGAAAATTATCTAATCTTTGCACATGATAGTTGTTTATTTTTTCTCGCAATTATTGAACATCAAATGCACAACATCCATAAATTGGAATCAATTTCTTCTAGGGACACATTTCCATTCGATAAGGATTGTGATTCACTATTGATCCCAATACTAATCCACAATTTTTTGTAAAATGTTTAACAATTTCCGAACAAACGAGATAGATGATAGTTTCAGAAACAGACCGCTCTAAACTTCTAGTAGAATACCGTTTGAAATCCACAAATATTCGTTATAATATACATTCTCTAAATTTTTAATGAAATTTCCAGAAAAAAAATTTAAATGAGTGACCTGTTGTGCTTAATAAGGTTTGCATGATTGATTTTGGAAATGACTCACTCACATAGTGCTAAAAAGCCCCTCAAATGTAAATTGATGGTAGGATTTATATGAGAAATCGAAATGTTCTTTTACCAAGAATCTTGATTTATTTTTTTAATCTTGCGTTTTTGGGGAATTTATGAAATTAATTTTTTTTTGTCAAGAGAACAAATTCAACGGTATTATGAAGATCAATTGTGATCCTCCTACTAGTAATAACACATCAAACATATTCAAAGATTTGGATATTTCTACAATGTTTTTTATTTATAAATTACTAAATTATAATTTATTTTAAGAGTCCATCATTGATTGAAATATGTCGGTGAATATCCTACATCAATGAGCGAATCATTTACTCTGTTAAAAATCGTTGATCGCCTTTGTTTAACTTCATCACGGATGTGCAAATGCGAAAATTCTGCATTGATAACTGAGGGACCTTTTGCCTTTTTGGTCCCCACTTTTGTGTACACTGGTGATGGTTGGTTCGACCCCCCGCTTAAGCCAAATTTTTTTGCGAATGTGAAAATTTGAAAAACGGTTTTTCGAGTCAGAAATGTCCCGAAGCACTTTGAACCTATCAAAACGGATTATAAGAGTTATGTATCAATCTTGAAGCTAATAATAAGTCCATATAGATGTTACTAACCTAATTAAAAAAAAAACAATCATATCAAATTTTATGACCCAATCCATTTCTTATTGTTTTTGAATGAAAATGATTTTTTCCACGTTATAAACAAACCGTTGATTCACATTCTACTCTTCTTTCACGCTTCATTATAATCCATCACTTTTGTCGGTTGATTGTCTCAACTTTCTTCTAGAAATAAAAAAAACATAGCTGAAAAGTGGGTAAAGATTTCTTAGCTTATTTTCAACAATAAAAAGACCCAAAATTGTATTTTGTTATCTGAAAATAATTCATCAATGCTCGAAAAATAATATAAACATTTCAAAAATAATTAATTATGATCTCATACAGCGCGTTGCTATGGGAAATAGATCTAAACAAAATTTTCCGCTTTAAAGTCAAGTTTACGAATTGTTACATAGCAACGGGATAATCAGAGACAAGCTGAAATTATCGTGAACATTCCGCACGGCAAACATTCAGAAATGGAATGTCGCAAACTCAGCAATTCTACTTTTCTCTGTGAAAAACCTTCTTTTTTGGATAAGTTTCGAGCATCTTTATCTATTGGTATGATTTTTTTCAAATTATGACATATAAACTATATTTAAAGGTAGCCCATTGTCAACATTTGTCTTGGCATCAGAAATGTGGCTTATCATAATAATTATATTCAGCATTCCGGTCATTCGGAAAGATACATCATTCTGGTTTTTGATTATTCTTTTAATACCTATAACGATTCAACATGGTGCAAAAGTGATTGTCACTATTTATTATTACAGCTACGCATTCCCTTCGTTAGACTTGTGAGCCCATGACATTCATAATTATAATCAAAATATATTTAGCATGATTAAAATTACACAAATAGTAGGAATTTGCTATGAAATTATAGCTATATATTTCACATATGGTTCAATGATTTACGCTTTTCAACTTATTCAAATAGCACGGAAAAAGAAATTGCTGGGCAAATTTTGGAGGTATACATTTAAGTATCTTTCAATAAGAATTTCAGAGAGAGAGGGAAAGCAAATTATAAAAAAAATTTAAAACTTTTGATGCACTTTTCAGAGTTTCATATTTTGTTACATTTATTATCGGCATGATTGTCATCTCCATAGCTAAAATGTCCAATCGAGATATTGAAAAAACAAAGTTAATGCTCTTCACGTCTGCTCTGGCTATTGTCCTAATTCCAATTATCATCGCTGCAGTAAATAGCATTGAAGCAAAATCACACATAAAAAATTCCAATTCAGAATATTTACACCCTTTTTTCAACCGATTCTTCCGATGAGAAGCAAAAAAATTTAAGCAATGTTGAGGTGCAAAATTCTGATATAAGAGTGCTGTACATGATACTATACTTACCATTTGGAATTATTCCTGCTAACATTCAAAGGGCTGCACATTTTCTTCAATTGTATCTGGATTTTGGGATTATCATTCCTGAAGTACCAATGGATGTTCGATTTTATTTATATCCGGTCTATCTTCTTCTTCTTTCAATGGTCCTTCTTCAGGTCTTCAGGTTCATTCTAAATGAAGTAAGCAATTGATAGAATTGGTGCACTTTCAGAAATGCGTTTTTTTCTTGTGCTGAAACTTTGAAAACAAATGATGCCACTGAGAAACCCCAAGTTATTAATCAAAATACAGTAACTCCCATGTTTGTTTTGCCTACGAATCAACCAGGACAACCGGCATATCCAACATTCATAATGTCTGTTCCAACATATCCCAATATTAGCTACACCAATATACGTCCCGAAATTCCCCCCGTTCAATAAATCATAAAGAAATATTTCGAAAAATCTTTTCTTTGTGTATTTTAGTTTGGTAAATTATTTATTTTTTGTAATAAACATTAAATTCAACGAATTATCAAGTGAAGTTAAGAAAATTATTGGGAATTTTGTATAATCATGAGCGGATTTACTACGTAACATATGCTATATTTTATTAATTACTCTTCCGTCTCTTCATCTTCCTCATCAGTGCTTGTTAATATCGAGCGATCCTGAACGATTCCGGTTGGTGTCTTCGCAAATTGACGAAGTGCGTCTGGGTCAAGCTCTTCCATAGCCTCAAGAGTTTCCAAGTGAGGCAAGACTGTTTCCCAGATCTTGTTCTCTCTAATCATTTCAATAACAGCGTCAATTTCAGGCTTCATGTAGCGGTCCTCGTTAAGTGGTCTTAAATATAGGTAATTACTGGCGAATTATGCAACAATTCCTCACGGCGCAACAGTTCTAACCAACTGGTATACTTTGTGAAGTGGAGCTGTGGACATTAGCGGCTTTAAAAATTCAATGCCCTGGCAAGCAGCCAACAACTCCATTGCAAGAACTAAACAGGAATTAATGTAAAAATAGACTCGATAATTAATTTACCAGCTTCAACATGCTCAACCACAGTCAAAGCTTTTCGGGCAGCAAAACCACCCATGCTCACATGGTCCTCTTGATTACAACTAGTTGGAATGCTGTCAACAGATGATGGATGGCACAATACTTTGTTCTCGGACACTTTAAATGTTCCAAACATTAACAATATTATTGATATTGTTCTCACCAAGACTAGCAGCGCAAAGCTGAACGGTCATGAATCCCGAATTCAATCCACCGTCCGGAGTCAAGAATGTTGGAAGACCGCTGAGCTCAGTGTTAACGAGTCTTTCCAAACGTCTCTCGCTCATTTGGGCAAGTTCGGCAACGGCGATTGCAAGATAATCAAGAGCCTTCGCTGGATATTCTCCGTGAAAGTTACCGCCACTAATGATTTCTTCACGCTCCGCGAAAACTAGCGGGTTATCAGTCGCTGAATTCATCTCAGTTGTGATAATTTCACGAACAAACGCGATGGTATCGTGAACAATTCCATGTACCTGATAGTCATATTAATTACTGCCTTAATAACTGCTTCTTACTTGAGGAACACATCTCAAAGTGTAAGCGTCTTGAACTTTTCGGCAATTGCGATGAGACTCCGCAATTTGAGACGGATTGGCTTCGGAGTGAAGAAGAGAACGAAGACGGAGTGCAGATAAATTTTGACCAGGGTGTGGTCTGATGCGATGAATATCTGAAATCAAATTTTAAATATTTTAGACATCTTCTTTTCTACCGGGATCGTAAGCTCTTGTTGTTCCTTTCAACACGTCTAAAGAAAGAGCAGCGATGACATCAGCTTGGCGAGCAATATTATGAGCTCGTTCAAGAGCTGAAATATTGATATTGGATATTTAAAATTAGTTAAACGAAATTTTACTGAAAGCTCCAAGTGCTGTAACCATTTGAGTTCCATTGATGAGAGCCAATCCCTCTTTCTCTCCCAGTTCCAATGGCTCCAAATTATTATTCTTCAAAACGAGATCAGCTGGTTGCCAACCGGTGCTTGGACTCCACATCTTTCCTTCTCCTAGAAGTCCCAGAGCTAAATGAGCCAATGGGCACAAATCTCCAGAACAACCAACAGTTCCTTGTTGTGGAACATACGAAACGCAGAAAGCTAAAACGTCAACTCATTCGGCATTGTGGTTTCGTTATACCATTGAATGCCGCAATCATTTTCTTTATATTCTTTAACGAGATTCCACTGTGACCTTTAGCAAGGATATTGATACGAAGAGCTAAGAGCATCCGAGCGCGGTTTGGTGGAAGTGGTTCACCATACCCAGTGGCATGAGATCGAATCAAATTTAGTTGAAGTTGCCTGAAATCCAAGAGAATATAATGGTATTATTGCGAAGCAACTCACTTGACTTTCTCCTTTGGAATGAGTACATTTGAAAATGTTCCAAATCCAGTTGTAACACCATAGACAGCTTGAAATAAATTATATTACATTATTTTTTTCTGACTTACCGCGATGCTCCGATGCAATCTTTTCTAAGAACTTTCTCCCTTTGTTAATCTTATCTTCAGATTCCATTGAAAGCTACACTTTTTTATTAAATATTTTTTTTCCTTGTATATTCATTATCCATACCTGTATTGCACATTCTCCCTTTTCGCATCGAACAAGGTCTTCGGGTTTCAAACTGTTTCCATCGAGAATCAGAAGCTTGTTTGGAGGAGGAAGAGCCATAGGAGTCAGTTGATCAGCGGCAAATGATACCCTATTCAAGCATATTTTTCACGTGTTATTAACTATCAATACTTTCTCCGGCGGCTGTCCATTTTTTCGATTTCGTTTTTCGCATTCTCAATTTCTTCTTTACGTTTCTCATCTTTGGCTTCTTCGGTTTCTTCACGATTAGCGGCTGCAAGTTAAAAATCTTTGATATCTCATTACAGCTTTCTTACTTACCAACGATTATGAAATCTCCATCCTTGAGAACATCGGCAACCTTGTCTTCAGGGTCGAGAAGCGAATTTCCGATTGTTCTCCGAATTTCAAAATAGTCATCGGCAATTGGTAGTGTTGGTCGAAGACGACGAAGTTTTCCCAGTGAACGTTGAGCGACCTGGCCGTTAAATGATGAATAAAGTATGAGAAAATTATCATACCTCATGAATTGTTTCATCAGCATCGCACGGAACAACAACGCATTCAACACCAATTTGGACCTGAAGACGCATATCGACACAACCGATCCGAGTGGACTGAAATGTGATAAACTAACTGACTGGATGGGCATGGATCACGATATCATCGGAGTGGGCGGAGCGAGGGATTTGCAAGTTTCATCGCAGCACTTTTTACGATTGCCGAAAGGAAGTGATCAAATGTGACCGTGACGGTACGGTTGGAATACCACATGCTCTTATAAACACAGACATGAAACAACTAATGGGCGGCGATTATCTCACGCTATCTGATCTTGAACTTTTATTCTGCAATTCCCGCTCATTGGCCTTAACCAACGATTATCTGTCAACACATGTGGTGGGCAAATTGGAAACATGAATAACATTTAAAAAAAACCAATCAAAACTTTGGTTTGAGAACAACTTGGAGATTAGCTTAAAAGAGAACATCATTATTTGAATGCGCGAAATTTCACTTGATGATATGAAAAAAACCAGTGTTGTAAAAAATTAACGTACAACGTGTTCGAAGCGTGTAAGCAGTGACACGAAATCAAATGCGCAATTTCACAGCAAAAAATTGCTGTCGGAAACAAGATTGAACATTGATATGAACAGTTACAACAACAAACTATATTTGATATTTCGATACGTGAGAAATCCAAATGTAGATGAGTTTGCCAACTTAGGAGCATTTCGCTTAAATGAAAATTTAAAAGGATACGGCACTGCAGTTATGACGGTCACACAATCGTATACATTATGCAGGTTTTATTAGTGTCCATTTTAGAAAAGTTTTATAGCTTCGCGAATATTGAGTTATTGGTCTAGCGAATCTCAATAATCGTAAATTCGAGCCTGGGAAATTTTGAAAGCCGTATTATCTTCAAACCAAGACCGTTTCCACTTCAAACTCTATGGAACTTTGCGTTCAGTAACATCCGTTTTAGTACAATTTACCATTAGTTGTTTATTATACCAATGTTCAATTTTATTTGGCCCGAACTTTTGATTCACTATTTATATCATCGAACTTCACCTTCTTTCACATCGTGCCTCATTCCAGTGAGTGATATCAGATTACCACGTGTTGTAATCAAGTGAAAACTTTCCAGAACCATCTACGGCGAAATGTTCTCATCAAATCATTTTACATCCAAAAGTGCGCAGTGAAGTGTCAATTTTAATCATTTCGTCGAGATTCGAGATCACTTGATAAAACATCAAGAAATGGTCCTCCGTCTATTAATTGGCTACTAAAATTTTATGAATGCGAGACTCAACAATACCGACTTAATGATCCAGATTCCGGTTCGTCATTGAGTTTACAGCCTCGTGGTTGGTTATCATCTATTCCTACCATTAACCTTGAATGATGTTTGAGGTCTCATTTTAGAATTATCATCCCACCATAAATGTTGAATATCTTATTTGATATATCAGCGAATACCTTCTAATAAAATATTTAGACCGCACTTATAATAAATCTAATGTTACACGTTGGAAAAACTGAATATCTACTTGACAAAAATTGACCACGATTGACTACTATAAGCAACACAATAGGGTTGGGTGATAAATAAGTAGACTATTCACCAAAGTATATCAATTCAATTAAAGTAAATATGATTAAATATCGAATGATGAGATTTAGATCGAGAGCTCAAATTTGACATCGACGTTGGACGCGCGAGCAAGATCAACAATGTTGGAAAGCTTCACAACCATCTTAGCAGCCTCGTCAAGGTTATCGCATGGCAAAATTCTGAGCTGAGAAGTGGCAATGAGAGCCTTCGCATCTTCGACCTTTGTTCCTGTAGAACCAAAAAATTTATATCAGTTTTTATTGATAGTTAATACCTTGAAGTCTCACAACAATTGGGATTTTCAAGTTGAGCTCCTTAGCTGCTTGGATGATTCCTTGAGCAATAACATCACATCTCATGATTCCTCCGAAGATGTTGACAAGGATAGCATTCACTTTGTCCGAATCAGCGGTAATGATTTTGAAAGCCTCAGTGACTTGCTCCACAGTGGCACCACCTCCAACGTCCAAGAAGTTAGATGGCTCGCCTCCGTGAAGCTTGATAATATCCATGGTAGCCATAGCCAAACCAGCACCATTGACCATGCATCCGATATTTCCGTCAAGACGAATGTAGTTCAAGTTAGCAGCAGCGGCACGGATCTAAAATATTTATTTTTACTGGATTGGTTTTTTTTTTCTATTAGAAAATTAAACCTCGAGCGGGTCTTCCTGCTTGCTGTCCTTCAAGGCGAAAATTTTCTCTTGACGGAATTCGGCGTTTGAGTCGAGCAAAAGTTTGCAATCCATGCAGAAGACTAAAGACCATTGGTTTCAAACTTTCATGATTTTTCTTTGAACTCTACCTTCTCCATTAACATCTTCAGCCATTGGGTTAATTTCAACGAGAGTTGCGTCACTACCCTTGAACACCTTGTAAAGCTTCACAATAATATCCGTTGCTTGTGGAATTGCATCTCCAACAAATCCCATCTTTTCGGCGATTTGACGAGCAATTTCTGGGGTGAGTCCAACATTTACGTCAATTGGCATCTTGACAATGGCATTTGGATTGGTGGCAGCAACTTCCTCAATATTGACACCTCCTTCGGCAGAAGCAATAACGATTGGTCCCTAAAATATTCTAATTAAATTTTCTTTAAATCTTTAATTACATTTGTGTTTCTGTCCAAAGTGATGGAAAAATAGTACTCCTTGCGAGTGAACAATCGTTTGCAGACCATAACTTCTTCGCATTTTTTTCCACGATGGTCAGTTTGTTTGGTTATGAGGTTGGCTCCCAACATCTTTCCAGCTTTGTCCTTAACCTCATCAGGCCTAAAATATAAATATTTCAATGAAATACCACTGATTTCGTGTTTTTCCTATTTGAAATAGAAATTCACTCTATCATATCAACCATAAAGTGATTCTTTATCTAATTAACCATGAACGTCTGCAAAAATACCATTTTGCAAGCATGATATCTAAAATATCCTATTTCAGTGGTTAATAGAATTAATTGAATTCACTTGGATGATCTATCTCAGTATTTGTTCTAATACTAAAAAAAAATCATTTCCCCAAATAGTTTCGGCAATTGAAATTAGTCAGAATGATGAAATAATTTGACAGATTGGTCTAAAAAAATGAACATGGATATGAATTTTTTCATTTAGGGAATGTTGTAAACTACCTATTACTAGAAAGATATCACATGTATTTTTGATTTTTAGAAATGTGATAGATTTAAAGTTATATTCTATGAATTTGCGTTGAATTCTTATTTAATTTTCTAGCCTCATTTTTTAAAATTTCTTCTTCCTCTCCAACCGTATAACTTCCGGCATTTTCTATCGTGCATTATGAAATATATTACCACGCAATATTTTTAAGAGAATATAGGTCTCGTGCGATGTTGCGTCAGTATCACGATATTTTCCCGTCATTCAGCGAAGGGGGGTCATCAAGAAATGATAACACACGGTTTATGGTCTTCGAAAACCGTTTATAATTTTCCGTGAAAAATTGATTCACGAGCTTGTGATTGGTATTTGGATATGCATAATTAAAAGAAAACCAAAACATACGTAAAGACGATTTGAACTCCTCCCTGAAGTCCGGACGAGAATTTTCCTTTTCCACGTCCTCCGGCAAGAACTTGGGCTTTCACGACGTAATCTTTTCCTCCGATTTTCTTGGCAACTTCGGCTGCTTGGTTAGCGTCTTTAGCCACTCCAAATGGTGGAACCTTGATATCATGATTTTGCAAGATGGACATTCCATGATGCTCATGAAGCATCAAGTTTCTCGCGGCTGGGGCAAGAATCTGAATGATTCAAAATAAATTTTTATTTAAAAAAAATAAATTTAATTACCTTGTGGGAAGTGGAGAGAAGTGGCTGGCTGACTCTTCCTAGCATTTTTCTGAAGACAGGAAATAAATTAATTGCATAGAATGAGATGGCGTCAAAGAAACGACTTTTATATAAGAAATAGAGACGAAATTAGATTGAATTAAGAGAGTGGTTGTGGAAAGAAAACGGTGTGAGTTGGAATGGGCGAATTGTTGGAAAATAAAAACAAAAAATTGAAGAAGAGTAGGCGACTCGGAGAAAGCAGGACAACTTTTCGGATCAATGCGGCATGCGTTTGTGCAGTAGAGCAACGTTACGCTACTCGTTCGCAGAGATCTTTGTCATCTCTTCACGCATAGACATAATACGCAGACGAGAAAACGAAGAAAACATAGAACCACGCTTGTATTTAAGTGATAAATCGTTGTGGGACAAGATGGTATTGATGAAAAAGCAACGTGTTTCCAAATAGCGATAGATTATTATCGGGAACCGTATATATTGCTGATTTCTGATCTTTGATATATGTACATATGCACACAACTTTGACCTCAATTTGAGTCAGTGACTGGGGAGGGGGCAAAGTTTAAAGTATATGCCTTATCAAATTAATCGGGTTGAAATGTAATGGAAAAAAAGAAGAAATTGCGTAAACATATTTCGAACAGCTAAAATTATTGTAAAGTTTAAAGAAAATAAAATATCAATATTTCAAAACTTCATTTAGTAGATTATAAAGATATAATAATGAGTTATATATGGTACACATCGGTTTTCTTTAGCAATAAATTCAAAAAGGCGCTTTGTCTAATTCTAATGAATATTTCGAAAACATGAAATTCGATGGAGAGATAAATCCCTGTAGCGTTTAATTTAATAAAACGAAAAGACAGAATTAACTTGAAATACGAAACTGGATTTTAAATTTTTGGCGAAATTTCTCTCTAATGCAAAAATCGTTAATGTTTTCCGATGTTTTACAACGTCATATTTATTCAATCTCTCGAATTTTTTCAAAAATGTTTGGTTGATATAATTAGTCTCATAGTTGCCTCAAATCATAATAGCTATTATTTCCAAAAAAAACAAAACAAAAAATTATTTTATTTCAGTAAGTTTGTCTCATTTTCTGATCATTTTATATAATGGTGTGATTGAAATCACGCCATTTATCAAAAATTTTAAACTTCACTTACTATTAAAAAACATAAAAAAGGCTTGTTGTTTTTGTGAGTTTTAAAATTTTATTGAATGAACCTCTAAATTTTGAGTGTAGTCTATTTGTACATACCTATGTTATCAGTTGATGTAGCAGTCTCAAGAATCTTGCCATTTCTTAAATGAGGCACCATCGTAGCGAAAATTTACGCGGAAATTGAGATACCATATTCAAAAACTCACATATTTGATGAAAGTTATACCAAATGAGGAACAATTTGGAAAAAGGGAGAGAATCTGCAGAAAATTGGGTGCGTCGGGTCATCACTTTTCAATCTTATCAATATGTAATCTAGCGTCCCTAATAATGTACTACAATGGACCGTTTTCAACATATCACTTGCAAGTATATGTTTCTTTGACCTTTTTATAGAAAAAATGAGAATAAAAATTACATTTGGTTTCAGTTTAAAGTGCATTCAATTCGAAACAACATTTTTTGCCGAATTCTCGCTATACTGTAGCACGTTTGTATCTGATCGAAATATCCGGAGTCACTACAATATAGCCAGACATGAATTTAGTTTGAATACATAACTTATTATGTTTAATTCTTCTGCATAGCTTTAATTTTAACACGAAATAAAAATTTTATTCAAAAAAGCATGAATATTAAGCGTGAAGAATACTCTTAGAAAATCTCAGAGGTTGACATATTCTGAAAAAAAATTGAACTGATTTCAACGAAAAATTCATTATTTTATAACTGCTAATTACCATTCAAATTCCACAAATTTTACTTGCCTATGGTTGTTTGCGTTTCTGATCTTTTGACAATTTAAATAGGCTTTTGCCATATTTGGAAAAATGATAATATTTATCAAACCAAAATTTTCAATTCAGCTCCGTCTTTCGAACATTATATATATACATATATGTATATTAAAATAAAATTCGAATCGAGCTATTTTCTTGTTTCCAATAATTCTTCTAGTCTGCTTCCAAAGTATTATTAGATATCCGGTTTTCTTTGTATCGTATTTATGATAAGAATTGAGGAGGCTAATCGGGCAATTGTGCGTGATTCAAGTTGCCTCCGCGTCAGTAGACTAAATCGTATCCCGAATAGGGATGTAGGTCACTCGCATGTCCTTCGTTACCCTTTCAATCGCGTCATTCACAAAATCGCTCAAAACCTTTGATATGACATTTACTATTTCGTTGACTTGAAAACTCACTCGAAATCTTTCGAAATTGGGAAAAAACAAAAACAATTCATTCATTCATTCAAAACATTTCAAAATGCTTTTATTGATAACGAGTTCCTATTTCATCGCCAGAGTAGTTTTTTGCATTGTCCACAAATTTTCATTTGCAGATTGGAAAAATAATGTCACTCGACGAGAAGTTCAACGCTGCTGTCGAAATAATTCAGAAGCTGCCGAAACAGGGTATGGACGACGATTTTATCAGGAACACGTGTCGATGATAAAACATCATACGATGTGTGATCGTGTGAGAAATTTTGAAATATTTTAGGACCGGTCAGCACCTCGAATGACCAGAAGTTGACGTTTTACTCGCTGTTCAAACAGGCGACTATCGGGGATGTAAACACTGAGAGACCGGGAATTTTTTCGATTATTGAACGAAAGAAGTGGTAAGAAAAATATGGCCCAAATTTTGAAACTATGAATTGAGAATTTCGAATTGAATATATTTTTAAAGGTATTTTTTAAAGCTTGCTAGGCAACCTTAAAACATGTAGTTATGATATTTAAAGAGATTCGATTCGAATGTGTCCATATCAATTCTAAGTACCTGTCATCTTCTATACATTGCGTTGTTTTACTTATTTCAGTTCAATAGATTTTTTTATGCATAAACTAGAAAACTTTTGTATTCGCTACAGAGTTTCCCTGCTAGTAATTTTTATATATGAAACGGAGGAACTCAACGTTAATGTTTAGGACTTTGTCTTTCCCGCAATCAGATCTGATAACACGTGGTAAACCATGTCATTTGTCTATTTGTAGAATCATATGTACATATTGGAACAAAGTCCAAAGAAAGTTTTGTTATAGGTTTTAGTATGATGATATAGGAATTTTTGCTTTGGCAAATTATTGGTATTTTGAAACTGAAACAAAAACAGTGTCCGATTTTCTTGGTTCGAAATTGATACTGCTTAGAGACTACCGGTTTATTATTTGTTTTTATTTAAAAAAAATTATTTTTACAAAATTTAATTTTTTTTTAATACATGGTATAATTAAATCCAAAAATCTTAAATAAGTGTACCTTGGTGATTGTTTGTTAATAAATACTCATTTTTTTGTAGAACTTCGTGATTGATTTTTATAATTATTTCTTTTTTTTTTGGATGACCAATGAGGAAAATAAATATTATTAAATTTTCAACAGTAATTTAATAATTACACCTTTCAAATATTTTTTGAAAAGATCAGAAATCATCAATAATTGCATCAGCACACTCAGACGGCTGCAACCTCCATTTATTTGCTGAGATAAAATCAGCGAACGTTAAGTGAAATATTTGCAGGGACTCTTGGAAGGAGCTCAACGGGGTCTCGCAAGATGAAGCCAAGGAAAGATATATCAAGGCTTTGAACGAGATGTTCGACAAAATTGCTCAGGTGAGGAATGCGGCTGGTCTTCGTTTCAATTAGTGTTCAGGAGCTTGATGTCGGAGCATGGCTCGAGCAGATCGATCCAGTGATTAAGACGAATCTGGCTCTCATCGCCAAGTAATTCAAATGTAATTGAAACACCAATTTTAAACAGTTTATTATATTATAAATTATCTGAAAATTTAGTTAATAAAAGAAAAGTAAACTCGACTTTGTCATTGATAAACACTACGATCCCGTAAAACGTTGGAAATAAGCATATGATAATGAAGAGATCAACAACGAAGTTTAGGTACACATAGACAATTTAATTTGTTCGGGAAAATCAAAACAAAACAATATTATAAATCGATTGACGTATGAGTTTGGAAAGTGTGTAATTTTGGAATTTACCAATTTGATCATTGTCTTTACTGGAATTTAAAAGTAAGATATAAAACGAGCAAATCGACACTTCATCCGTATGAAGATAATTCTAATATAATGAAAAGAAAATGTTAATTAGTGACATATTGGAATGTGATCAATTTCATTCCCCGTGTTTCCGCCGGTCGGGTCTACCCTTCACTCATTACAATCGCTCCTTTTTATTGCTTTCCTCCCTTCGTTTTTCCTCGTTGTACGCGAAATATTGAAATGTTCGATATACAATGTGCAAGAAAACGCATTCAACAACGATCACGGTCACCATGGCCGCTGTGACGAGTAGAGTGACTATAATTGCCGCTGAAAATTAATTGCTTCTTACACTGAGGGCGTAAATCTCATCTATTCTCGCCCCTCAATTTTCTTCAAATTTATGGATTTTCGCGTGGGGGGTTTTTACTTTGAAAATTGATGTTTGACACTTACTTGATGAACTATCCGGTCGTCGAAATCGATACTCATTGGGATCGGCATTGATAGAGCGAAGGTTCTCCAAGATGTTTCTGAAATTTTGAAAATGACCTTGATATATACATATATATTGGGAATGGCACCTTGACACTCCGTGAGTTCCCCGGAACAAATGAACAAGGAATATAAGAAATAGGATGATTAGGCCAATGCTCCAAATTGTCTGGAATTCGAATAATCTTCTCATTCACATTTGCTTATTTTGTTACCGTATAAAACATGAATGGTTTCAAAAGACCTGGCCGCTTCTTTGAGACACCACACATTAAGGTCATAACAGATATAAAATCGAAGATCAGTAAAAATGCTTCAAAATATCCTGAAATTTAGAAGTTAAGTGGTCGGTAGCAATACTAAGGAAACCATTTAACCCGAGCTTCGAGATTCCCATAAAGTACAGAACTAAATTGATGAAGAATCCAATTAGTGAAAAAACGCCGACAACGCGACAGGTTTTCTGAAAAACGATTCGGATCGTTTGTCGGCACCGCTACCGTGGAACATACAATAATCTTCACTTGTGAACAGCAATAGTAGTTTGGAGGAATCGGTTCTTCGGTGAAGCCAAAATTGACCACAGTCTCTCTTGGTGGAGGTCCTTTCATTACTCCGTTACCATTAGCCCCTAAAGAAACCAGAGTTATTGAGGCGTACGAGTCAGAATTTTGAAATGCCTGACTTTTGGTTTTAGGCATTTTCAAAATGTGGATCTTCTAGGTTTTCTGTTGACATTACTAAATATTTTGAGAAAATGAGTTTCTCAAAAAGTGATCATTAAGAAATCATTTATCTTTGAAAAAATTGAATTTAGTGGACTTTCTTTAATTAATCACAAACTAAATTCGGAATTTGAAACCAATGAAAAAAATTAAGATTTTAGATTTTGGCTTAAAGAAACACATATGGGGTGAAAGGGTGAAGAACGTCAAATTGAATAGGCGAACTTTATTAGCTTTGCTGCGCTATTCTCGTAGTCGCAAGCCATTCCAAGAACAATGCGAGCGTAAGATTTCTCACTTTTGACGAAATTCAATTCGGTGCGCTTCTTTTCTACAATTCTTTTCAAAAAATGAAGCGAACGAAAATTAAAAAAAAAATCACCACAAAAAAAAAACAAATCAAACACATCCACAACAATCTCCATTTTTTTGCTGCTCGATATCCACTCACTAGGTGGCGACGCCGGCTTTGGTAGTAATAGCGGTGTTTGAATAGTGAGAATGTCATTGTCAGATATGGAAATACTTTGGACTTGGCTTTGCATTCCTGTAGAATTTTTGATTATCTAGCGAAGGGTGAGAACCAACGTTGAAACAAATGTGCGGAAAGGTTGAAGCTGGGGAGGAGTTTGCCCGAATGAAATATGCACAAACTCGCGTGATAACTTATCGTGATTTTTGTGAATTTATGTGTGTCCTTCTGAGCGATGCGATCCGATATTCAGAGATAAGGCAAAAGTATTTGAAATATATCAATCACTCAGTGAGTATCTTCCCAGCATTCAGGTGCGATCATTAATGCTCATATCGTTCTCATCGGCCCAGGCTCACAAACCCAACTTAATAGCTTCGGCTATAGATAACAGGATCCTTCTATTTCGTGATTTATAGCGTCCCGAGGTGTAAAGATAAAATGATAGATGAAAGAGGTGGATGAAAGAAAAACATAGAGAAGCCCGAATTATAAATCGGTTTGTGCCGATATTTACAGCTGTATAAATGACATGTGCTGTTCCCATCGACAATAGTATTATTTCAATTAAATATCCGCAGCGGAAGAAGAGCTCGCCGCGGCAACAAAAAAAACTGGAAATTCGGGGTGTGGTCCGTAAACAAATTGGCCATGAGAAAATTTTGGTTAAATCTCGACGTGCAATTTTTTTATTGAAATATTCATAATTCACATAACGAGACGAATTGGCAATTAATCAAAACTTGTGCTGAGAAATTGAGGCGGTGTTATTGTTGAGGACGGATATCATAACCTGCATTGTGTTGTGCAAGCGCATTTAGCTGACATTATGATGGATTTGATCGGTCGTATTATGAATTTTCACAGAAAAATTGTTGAACAATCAGAGAAGAGAGGGAAACGTCAAGAAAAAAAACGACCAACATATTTTTTGAGGCGTTCAAATTCGCAGCGAAATCAGTTTAGCATAAATTTCTGTTACATTTGAGAGGAAAAAAAATTGTAAGGTGTTGATATGAAAGAAAGCTGGTTGCCGAAAATAGAATTTCTGCACACAGAAGGGGTCCGATATTTTTTACATTCGGTTTATAGAATCATTTTGGATACATAAAGCTTGAACATAACAGAGTAAAACATGTAGTTCGGATTTTTTCGGCGTTCCTAAATCATCCAAATTGTGGAAAAATTTGCTAAATGGTCCCCAAAGTGAGGAAAATGACACAAGTTTTGTTTTTTTTTTGTTGGTTTCAATGCTTTCCAGACATTCATATGAACACGAATAGAAAAAAAACTACCTTTCCAAATAATAATACTTGGAACTGATTCGATATATCTTGGTTGTTGAATTATTCGCGGCACACGGAGTCGAGATCTATCCATTCTTTTATTTGGATTCACAATAATAGAATGGGTGACAAAAAAGAGGATTTTTTCAAGTGTGAAACAGAAATGAGATTTGACAAGAACTCAAAATTGGAAACTGATATAATTTCCGGAATAGGCGCAATTGAATGCGGTTATGTTCACAACGTTGGCAAAAAGGGATAAAATTGAAATGTAAAGAAGATAGTAGGCTTGAAAGTTGAAATCAAATAAAAAAATTAAACATTGAAGAAGGCATAATGAGAAATGTCGAAAAAAATCACAATATTTGCGACTGAAAACAAATTTGTAGCTCTTGGCGCAAGAATGGATCGTTTTTACAAGCATGTCGCTAATAGTTTCTATTGACAAAAAACGTGATAGGAACCACATTCCCATCAATCATTCGGAACAAGGCATATGTTGAATGCAATCATTAGTATGTTTGTTTTACACCCAATAGTTGAACTTGAACCCAAATGTTTCAAAGAGGAACCCCACCCACCTGATCTGATAGACGTTTGGCGTGGCTGACGTGGCTGACGTGGCATTCTTGTGCTTAATCTCGATTCGCTTCTAGTTTCAGGAGGCGGTGGCGATGGTTTGAGTTCAATGACAATTTCCGCAGGCTTCTCAGATTTTACAGGAGCGTCTATCCGAATTGTTGGAATAGATTGACATTGATTAAGAGTAGTAGTTGGCGTTGGTGGTGGAACCGTTGGAGATTTTGCGTTTCGCGCCATATCTGCATCATTACTCATTTCGTAAGTGTGCTCACATGAGAAAATCGAAACGCGAACCAATTATGAGCTAATGAAAAGTTTTCAGAAGCGGCGCGGGCAGAAAAAAAAACATGGTCAATGAGTTTTAAATGTGTTGCCCGCCCCAAACGCAAAGATAAACGAGAATCGATGGTGGTGATAGCGGAATCTCTACCACAGCTCAAACTAATTGTCTTACACCAACACGCAGACACACACAACACGAGCACATACACATACACACACCGCTGTCGCTATTGGTGCGTCGCGTCTTCGGCTAAACGATTTGCACCTTTGAGAATTAAGCGGTTCACCCCCCAAATAAACAGAAAATAAGAAAAAAAAAATGAAGCGAGTATGAATGAACCGAAGTTGGCACCTGGGCAATAATGTACGCCTACCTTAAACCAAATTGCGATTTGAAAAGATTTAGGGGTTTTTTCCGCCAATGACACCTCACAGATTTATTTATTCCGACGCTTATATTTTATGGTCGCACACGCAACGAAAATGATGCCGGAACGGCTGGAATAAGACGCAAATCTTGAATTAAACATCTATTCAATCACAAACTAGTAATAAATAGGTGAAGAATCAAAAATCCGCGGAGGTATGATGTTTAATAATACTTCTTATTATCTGATCTTATGTTAACATGGTGTTTATTACTATCTTCACTATCCATATTTCTCCACTGCTTGCGAATTTGAAATTCTGCAAGGCTCAGAGTTCAATGCTGACGCAAAGAAGCAATCATTATACAACTTGAAATTTTGTTCACTGAACAATTTAACAAAATCCATTTCATTGGAATTAACTCGAAAAATAGTTGTTCTCTGTGTAGGTTCCAAACATTTTCAGTTGATGCCGGGCGACTGCTAAATATGGGCAGATTTACGAATTCTTCTTTCGCCATGATCGCAAAACAACAGTCGAAATGCCGCAGTAATATTAAGATCAGCTTACAAATTCAGTAGAAATTTAATAAAACTGATGGTGCCAATAAAATCATTAATTAACCTGGAGCTCGTGGATTTACTATAGTAGCCCAAAAAATTATTTTCAAAAAATCTGATTTATCTGAAGAATCGGAAGTATTTAAATTGAACAGAAAATAAGTTTTCTACGCAGTTTCCTTTATTTTATAAGTTTAGCAAAGCATTTAGCTAAATAATGTTTCAAAACCAGATTTTTTTATTCAAAACATAAAATCGTTATAACTTAATGATTCAGAATTTTTTCTTCCTGACTTCTTTCAACAGATCACAACCGAGTTTGGTCAAAACTGTGAATGTTTAGTAATTGGCAATAAAGCTTAAATTAGATTTTGTATGATGAAGCAACATAATGGTATAGTGAGTATAGAATATTTATGAATGTCAATTTTTTAAAAGTGATCTTACAAGCTATTTTCTTCTATTTCTGAATTACCTAAAAATCAAAAAAGATACGAAATTATTCAACACATAGGTAACGTAGAAAATATGGTCAAATTTACGAATGACAATAAACCAACTAAAATCACAAAAATAGCTAGAAGTAAGTAATTGACGTGTCTCCAATAAGTTCAAACTTACTTCACAATGTAGCTTTCTTTCATTTTGTTTTGTTGAAAAACGGAATGTTCACTTTATGAATAGCTGTACTCTTGGATTTAAATGTTGTGGTGCAAACTAGTGAAGAACAACAATGTGAAACAATGACAAATGACCACTAGTTTGACGAATTCTTGAAACATAAACGTTTGAAAAATTTTTAGACTGATATACAACTCATATAGAAAAAAATAAAATTAAGATTTTGCTCAATTTTTTCTTAATTTTGGATGCGTCTGTTGTACACATCGCTCACCTATTGTTCACTTTGTTTGTTTTTTATCTAATAAGTCTGTTGTAAGCAAAAATGTCCAAAGCGAATTACAAAAAAAGGAATCCAAAGAATCAAAAAACTATGATTTGGCACATTGAGCACATCAGTATTCAAAACGAGAAAGGTAGTATCCATGGAACCAAAAACAAATGAAACATCACGTTAGTCTGGCTGTGGCCGTTTTTGAAAAATCAGACGAAAAGTCAAAAGTAACATTTTTATATCTGAAATATCAAATGTGTCAAAAAAATTATGAATGCATATATAAATATATATATATAATTTTTATTGAACGTATTAGGAGTTGAAAATAATACAGTAGCAAATCTAAAGGTGCAGGGTGGCCCAAATAGGGTGACTAACGCAACAAGTGCGATTACAGTATCAACACGAGATGTGAGAAGAACAGGTTTAAAAACCGCCATTACGTAATTGTGTGTGTATAGTTAGCTTTTTTACATGAAATGATTTTTCAATAAAAAATCCCTATTTATGGCACTATGTATATTTTGGAGAAAAGCTCAAAAAATTGGAAAAACTAGTCTTCACGCAATATTTAAACAGATTTTAGAAAATTTAAAAATGATTTCTTACCAAATTTGTAAATATCAAAAGTATGTTTTAAAACGGAAACAAAACTAATTTTAAAGGAACCGAGTCATTTTACATAATAATTTTCTAATTTTCTTTTATGAATAATTTCAAATCAAAAGATTGCCCTTCAATCTCAAGAAAAACGCTATATTTTTCAATAGAAAGGGATTTCGAGATGTTCAAGTCAAGATAGGACTATTCCAAAATAACACATCTTCGGCATGACTGCCAATTACGAATAATTGTTATGATATTTTTCCAACTTGTTTGAATATTCAATTTCAAATAGTTCATCGTTTATTGTCTTCTCACTAACAAACAACTGTCTGCAATTTTTACATTTAAAACTGCGAAAGTACTCGTATCAGTTGATACAATTAAAAAGGAGTTAAACAAATAAGCGCATATGAGAAAATGTACAGAAGTAAAATACAGTTTACACCAAATTGGTTGGCATGAAGGAATTATACAATATTCTGAATATTAACACCTAGAAGAAAATTCGACGGCGGTAGTCTTCCAAATGGAAATATGAATTGGGTCTCGAGTTGAACTTATACTGAAAATTTTCAACATATTCAAACGAAAATATTGCTAATTGAGTTTACCGGTCTGAATATGCGAATTTTGCTGAGCAAAAACTCCTTAACAACCTGATCAGTATCTTTCATGAGCTCAACCACGCGCTCCTCTTCGAATAATCCCATTTTTTTGAACAACGGTTCCATTTCCGCAATACTGTATCCTTGCTCGTAAAGGACGATCCCAATCTCTACTAATGTTGCTAGTGGAATCAAATCGTCCTTGAAGAACTTATCTGTAATTAAAGACATAAATGTTTAACAAAATAGAGTAGCTTCCTCACCGGTCGCCAACCACTCTTTGACATCAGCTCGCACTTGTGGAAACATGAAACGATCAGAAAAGTAAGCCAGCGTGCAGACATTCGATGCTGTATACGAGAAATTAGAAATAATAGCGCTTACTGCTGCATATATTAAGGAAAATTATGTGACGTAATTCGAACAGAATTAATACAGACATCATGTGTCACCTTTCGTCACTCTTATCAGTGAACTTTTTATCAAAACATAAAATTGAAATGCAGCTGACCTGCGAGATTTTTTTGCAAATTTCAAAAAAAAAAAAACAATACTAGCGAGGAACATGAGTCAGTCATTTCAGAATTTCGAAATGGATAAAAACTGAACATTTTTCAGCATAGAAATTATTGTGAAGAAATGAGTTATAATTTAAGAATTAACAGCCTAAATAAGAAATTTTTGTCAGAAATTTTTTTCTTCTCATTTTTTAAGCAGAGGCTTAAATTTTCTAAAATTATTCTGGAACTTTACCTCAGAAAAATAATAAAATATTTGCTCTACCGCATTTTTATTCTATTCAAAGTCGCTTACCGGTAATTTGGCGTGAAATTGTGAATTTGTCAGGGCACACATATCCAAGGAAATCTGCCAAATCCGCGGCATACACATCCGACAACGATAATTTGTTGTCAGATTTTTCCGAATATTCCTTAGTACAGATACTGAAAAAAAGTAACAAGACGAAAAATTGAATTAAATTTTTAAGGAATTGCCACTTACACATTGAAATACTCGGACAACTCGGCAAGATAATGAAGGTTGACGTAAATGTCGTCGGTTTTAGTGGCGATGCAGAATGAGCGAAGATCGGTTTTCTGGGTGAACTTTTCAAGGAGCGCTTGCGCGTCGTCGGAGCACATTCTCGTTTCTGCAGAATAACAAACCAGCGTCAAATGTTATGAAAAAAAAATAAAGCCGATGCATAATCAATAAAGCGATGTGAGGCTGCGTGTCTTGAGCACAAAACACTGCATGAGCGCGAACAAGATAGAGATACTAGAGAGAGAGCGGCAGATGGATGGCATGAGTTACTCGGACTTGGACGTGGCCCAAAAAAAAAACAAATCTAACGTGACCCCACAATATCAACGCGATATATTGCAACCGAAAAAGATGGGTTGATAGAAAAGAGTTCACGTGACGTAAACAAAATGACTGCCTGAGTTCGTGTTTACATTAGAACTATAGCAGAAATTCTTGATTGAATAGTAAATATTTGCAAAATTTTGTCGCTTGTTTTTTCCACCGCCGTTCTTTTGTTAATGTATGCCATAATATGGTGGCAACTGTCGGACATGCCCACCCGGTGCGCAACAGGCATTACTAGCGATTAATACTACAGCTGATTTGAACTAGTTTTCCGCCCATTCTTAAGGGTATATTCGAGGTCAACGAGTGATAGACAACCATTGTTTACTATAAATTATCACGGCAGAATAGATATTGTGGAGTGAATTATTCTGATGAATGAATCGATAGCAATTCAAGAATTGGCGCATGATAGGGAATGAATAACAAATGAGTGAAAAAACATGAAAATGTCTACCTGTTCGATTCATTTTTGCAACAACACGAGACGCAGAGTCAAATCAAATATAGTGATCAATGCGTTATCCATAATTGCACGATTATGCATAAAACATCACTTCTTGATCGAGAGAGATCGATACACGCATCTTTGTAATCTAAATATCACTACATGAAAACAATTTCTTCTTAATGATTAAAAACTAGCGAAAATAGTTCATATCGTTACTTCGATTTGTTTGCAACCCAAAAACAAAATTTAGTTCAGTTTGCAACGAAAAAAACAAAACCGTGTTTCTAAAGTGTTTTTATCAACAGAAGCTGCGCGGAAAGTGAAAATGCAATAAAAGTAGTAAAAAAAATAGTAAAAAAAAAACAATTTGCGGATATTTGACAACTATGTTAAAAAATAGGGTTTTTTGTGCTTGCTGAAAGTAATATAAATGTAATATGACGTATATAAATCCATCCATTTCAATTTCCCATAGGTTTGAACTGCAATTCAGCAAACAACAATTTTAAGCGTCATGAGGTGAAAAAAAAAGCTAACGATGGATTTCTGCTTATGGATTTATTTCAGAAAATTTCATTCTTTTAAAAACATCAATAATCTGTTTACTACGATATGCCGTTGAGCGGACCGAAAAAGACTTTGTGTAAAATTGGTTAGCCCATGCAGAAAAACTTGCCAGTGATTTTTGAAATTTTGAAATATGTACAAATTTTTCCAACTTTGAAGTTCGTTTTTTTATGTACGCGTGTAAATAAAATTGTGAACGTGAACATGCTTCTACGTCACGCATAGTGTGTATGCTTTTCGGATTTGTAAACTCAAATTGAGAACGAATTTCAAGAAATATGCTAATTTTCCATTTTCGCATTTTTTTGTTGTGAATTATTCAGATACATGAATATTAAATAAAAATTAAAACCGATACTGCTGAAAAGCATTCCATATTAAAGGACTTCTAAAGCTTATGACGTCAATGCATGTGAATATGAATCGAAGTTTTCCAAATGAAAAGTCCAAAGGAACCATTTCATAAATTTAAGAATGAGCGGAAAAGTATATCCCTCAAAATATTTATGAAGGTGTTGCAATTGTCGAGTTCGTCCCTGTGTCTCTAGCGTGATCCCTTATATGTTTTGTTCCATTGTTACCAAAAGATTTCAATAGCGTCTCAAAATTTTCACATTGAATTGCGCAACACGTTTTCATTCGATATTGTCTATGGGAAAATTCAACCATTTCGATAGTTCGCTTGAGATCCTGAGCAAAACACCCAATGAAGGAATGCCAACACTCAAATTTGTTTCCTTCCCATTTCAGACCCCCGCTCGCGCAACTATTTCTTCGTCCCTTATTTTTTCAGACGGCAGGTGCAAACAAATTTTAAATTGAGAAAAAAAAAACAGACTAACAGCTTGCGGACATCTGCCGCATTCAGACGCACCATTCCACACATAGCTTATTTTATTCGGTAGATTATTGAAATTTATTACTCGGGAAAAAAAATGGGACGGCGAAAGATTGACGATCGATAAGTGCCATCAAATCTTTTTGAGTTGAAAAATTATTATACGAATGACAGTCAAAACACACGATTACATTTAAAAGGAATAAAGAGTAAGAAGCTATAAATGGAGTTGACCGCAATATGGAGGCAAAACGCGTCAATAACAAATTTTTTTTTTTGAAATCAAAAGAAGTTAAAAGGAAAAACCCATGGAATTTGGATACAGAGTTGAGAAAAAAAAAACAGAAACGATGGAACAAGAGCAAGTTGAACCTATCAAAACGAATTCACCGATATTGTTGGTATATGATAGAAGGATCAGTGCAATCTTGCATTGAAATGCTTGGAAGCAATATTTAAAATAAACAAACAAACAAATAATAAAAGAATCCTCGTAGGCTTTTTTGCAGGATTATGAAAGCATAAAATACGTTGTAGGAAGAGATGGTGAAAACGCATCAAATGCGAAGAGACATGATCCTAGCTGAGATCGGTGTCAATGGCATAATTATGCGATTCATGTTATATTTTGGCTAAGACGAATGTGGAAGGAAAAACAGTCTGGGATTTAACGGATAGTCAATTGGAATGAGATAAGGGAACAATAAGAAGATCTTATGGGGGAATGAATGGTGGGGGAAGACGTTGGCCCGACGACGAAGCGGATTGGCCAAGACGTGGCGAGTTGGCAATTGGTGGCGGCGGCTTGTAGAGTGGGTTCTCGTGTTGCGAAACCTAAAACTAAGAAGACAATTTTATTATTGGGCAGTTCGGGTTAGCTTTTGGGACTCTTGAATTAGTCAACATAACGCTTCAACCTGGTTTTAGTATTTACCTTCAATGGGGGACGCTCCTCGCGGGCCAACATCGGGGTTCCAGCAGTGGCTGGATCATTTTCCTCGACCTCATCCGGGAAGACGACAGGCATTCCCTTGCTGACGTAGTCCTTGTTGTTAGCCTTGTCCTAAAAAATTAAAATAGAATTCTTACTCAGCTTTAAATATAATTTACCTTCTTTCCCTTGCCCTTGAGGCAGCAGAAGTAGACAATGATGCCACAGACAAGGAAGATGATGAAAAAGGTGAGAACGCCAATGATGATGACCTCGGAATCAGCTTCGGCAACAGATTGGATGGTCGGTGCGGTGGTGCTAACTTCCACGTCGGGCTCACAGTTGCGAAGACGTTCCATCGAGACTCTACGCACATAGAAGTTGTTGCCCATTGCCTTAACGAATTCGGTCTTGGTACGACTCTTCTGCTTGATAATCATCTTGGCGACCATGGCGTTCAATGCCGGCTCATCGCAGAACTGCGATGGAAGAGTATTGTTGCTCCATGTGACAACGGTCTTATTCTTTTTGGTGGTGATCTCGTGGAGAGTAAATGAGGTCACTGGGGCTTTTAGAGCGCGAGCCATAGCTCTCATGAACATGTTGCGAGTTTGAGGGCGAGTGGCGAGAATCTGGGCCGATGGCATATCCATATCGAACTGGATCTTGTGATTCGCAGGAATCGAAGGCTTGACAATAACCGAGAATGGAGCCGACGCCATTTGTCCAGCGTTGTCGCGAGCTTCGAGACGATAGCTGTACTCGCCAGTGCTCATTGGAACTCCGATCATTCCTTTGTTGTGGTCGATATGCATCCAAATGTCGGCATTTTCAAGAGCCACAATCGAAAGTTTGAGTTTGAATGTGTCGCCGTCTTCAACGTCCTTGAAAGTTTCGGGCGAGACGCGCAACTCACAGATTTCACCCCTGTAATTAGGTAAATCAATTGAGAATAATGAAAGAGAAAATTTGGATTTACCTGATGCACGTGAAAAGTGGAATTCGGTTCAGCAAGACTGGTTTGTTGTCAGAAATCTTTCTTGTCGTTCGGATAAGCTCAGTTGTCGTTCGCAATTGTTCGACAGTCATCGCGATTTTCGTGATTTCATCGTCAATCTTTTCAGTTATCGTTGTTTTGGCTTCGGTAGTGGTTTTCGTGGTGGTGGTTGGTGTTGTTGCTTTTGTCTTTGGACTCGATTTAGTGGTCGGCTCAAGATCCTTGTTATTCTTATTGTATCTACCTTTGGTCATCTATAAAACGTTTCTATTCATATTACGCAATAGCACCTGCTTGCCACTAAAACTAAAGAAATGAAACGGAAACGTACAATGACATTGTCGTAGTCGATATCCTCGCGCTCGATGAAATCGTTGAGAACGTCAGTGGCCTCGTCAAAATCGTCACATGCAGCTTTCCAAAGAACAACGAAATCTCCTGGTGCTCGTTCACTCATCAGGTTCTCGACGGTGCGGCATTGTCGGGCGTAATCACGCGAGTATGTGCGAAGGGTCTTCTTGTCGGCTTGTTCCATCAAGTTCAAGGCGGCTTCCACACGGTTAGTGATCTGAAAAAAAGCAATTAATTTAATATCCGTTTGGTTTTTTTTTCTTACATTGTTCTCCTTTTCAAAGTAGGCCTCAATGAAATAGGTGTCCTCGTCACCACAAGCTCCTTCAGTCTCGCTTCTCACAGTGATCGGAATCTTGTACGGGCGATTTCCTTCGCTCGAAATCTGAATGTATAAACAAATAGAGATTGGGACATTTCACAAAATAGCCTACCTGAATAACAATGGTGCCAAGGTCATTTTCAGTGGGGATTCCTTGAAGAATGTCGTTCTCGAATTTGAACCAATCCGGCAATGGCCCGCCGTCTTCCAAAGTGACTGTAGTCTTCGTGGTGAAACTGAGCTGGTAAAATTGCCCAACAAACAATGTCTGATGAGCTGGAATCGCTGAAGCAATCGCGAGCGACATCGCGAGAACGAATGAGACACGAAGTATCATCTTGCCTGCAAAAAAACACAATAGAAAATCAAGAATTTGTTAACACATGGCACGCGATTATATATTCAGATTACAGTAATGAGAGGAGCAGATTGATCGCAATTATTATAAAAGAAGAGGGAAGGGGGTGACATATGTGACGGGACAAGCGAATGGTGATTGATTGCTGCCATGATCAACATGTTTTTTTTGGGTTTTGCACATGGAAACTGAGCAGGTTGAAGGTTTCCCAAGTAGTATAAACACATAAAAGCGGCGGGACAGTGCGTGCTCGCTTCCAAAGGAAGTGAGGAAGAGGAGAAGTGTGCGGTCTGCGCCGCAAAAAACAGATTGCATATGGGGCGGGGACTCGAGGCGAAACCCATTGGAGCGCATCTGACCCGAATATATGTATGTATACAGACGGTTCGCTTTTGACACAACACTGCCGATGAGGGATAATAAAAGAGAATTGTACCGCTAATTTTGACGCTTCTCTGAGTTCATTAGGAAGCGCCTGTTGGATTTTGACCTTCCCATGTATAGCAGGGAAAAAAATGCAGAAACAGGAAAAAAAACGGGTAGATGAGGCGACGTGCCTAAATCTGTGCTAATCTTCACTGGACAGGTGCCACGAAACAATCGTTAATCACTCCCACTTTCACGCGTCATTTGAGCTCTTAGCCTTTAATGGGTGAGAATTGGGGAGCAAAAAAGAAACCACGAATATATATGTTTATACAACATTTTATACTTGTACGGTTTTATAAAGTTGTTGGCGGCAAGTGGACATTTGAATATTTATTCGTTATGATAACCATGGAGAGTTTTAAAGTGGGAAACTGGAAAGATTAACACGCATACATATGTTCAACGAATTCGCTGCAAAAATGAACACTGTAGTGAGTCGGCGTTTATTGCGTCAATTGCATTGCGATTTGCGGCTCGGCGAGTCGCAAAAGAGATAAAATCACTCAAAGTCAATTATCGTTGCTCATTACCTTGTCATTGAAAGAATCTCCGCCTAATTTGCTACTGTACACGATAACTAGTTATAATTGCTCCGTTTGGAACTCGCGCAACTAAGAACAAGCTAAATGATGATTGAGGGTGACACGATGCTGAACGGTCTCAATTATCCTCAAGAGAGAAGCGCCGCCGTAAAGTTTGCCGACAGATTGTCGGCAACATCTTCTGATGTGCATTTGATATATGATAGCCTTTTTGAAAAACTAACTAGCACATATGTGTGCGCGAGCGATAGGAACTGCGTGATGGTAAATCATATTCAGTGCCGCGTAAACAGTTACCAGATAAACGCGTTCGCGCAAAAGCTGTAAAGTTTACGATGCGCTGGCACTTAGCTTTCCGTACCATGTGAAGAGCGTCGCAAAAAAAAAATGAAGAAATCAATTGATGCGGAGTCAACCAAGAAAAAGTAGGAGAGAAAGACGGGTGAGCATCACATCGGCCGCCTAATCATACTAAACAAATATTACGTGAGGACCCGAGACGGAAAAGAGCAACCATTTGAGGACGATATTGTTGGAGGTCGTAGGAGCATGAGGTAAGAGGTTGGCTCGCTAGTGAACTAGTTGAGTTCCCGTTGAAAGTGCATCCATCACACAAAGGTGTGAAAATATTTCGATGCCGGCAAGGCGAGATGAAATGAGAATGTGAAGTGAAAACAATACACATGATCCTTTGGGCACTCGCTCGACGACCGCGCGCGCTCCTTCGCCCCGCCTCTTTATAGCTGTTGTGAGCGCGTCGCCGCTCCGCCCACTATATTCGGTTAGCACCGTCGCAAAACCTCCGGAATACAATATAATTATAGTAATTATAAAGGGTATACGAGCATAATGAGGCAAGATGAAGGAAAAGAACTGCGTTAGTTACCTTGTACGGCATTGGATTTGCGGAAGAATGAATACAAGGAAGGCAGTATTGGATGATTATTTACCGAAAACAACCCAACATTCTTAAAGGCGGTTAGTTAGAAGAGCTTGCTAGACAATTGCTTGACTACTACAGAAAAAAAGCGGGAATATATTGTTTTATTTTGTCTCGCGAACCACTCTAATAAAGGAACAATAGGTGCTTGTTTGTACGTTTGGCGTTCCAATTTTTTGCATTCAAAATGTGTCGGGAACCAAGCAATATGGAGCAATTTGCGCATACGATTAATTAGCCCTCGTTAAGTCTGTGCTAATCCTGGAATTTTCCGCGAAATTGACGTTCGTTTACGGTGGGTATTAGGTTGGTGGTCCGAGAACGAGCGGACACCTGCACTTTTTTTCTAAATCTATGCATTTCGGATGAGGACTTATCGACGAAATAAATTTTTTGGGTGGTCCAAAAATGAAACGTAATCATGCAAAAGGGGGATACAAATTAACTAGTAATTATTCGACTAGTTAAATTTGCATTGGTTTTAAGAAATACTAAAAATTTTCTAGTTAAAAAAAACTGACTAGTTAGTGGAAGATTTTTTGTCGGAATGTCGGTTTCTTTCGTCTCCGATCAATAATTTTCAATTTAAAATTTGCTATCGCTATTTAAATGCAGACCGCCTCAATATCAATTTCGCGCTGAAACAAAATTTGATTCAAAAAATAATTGGTTTTGCGGGTTGAACAAAAATGTTATCGGCCAGTTTCATCAAAAATACCGCGAGCAAGCACAATCTATTTTTATGTATGCCGCATTTTTTACACTGCAAACAACCTTTTCATTCAATTCCGTTCGAAATTTAGAAAGCCAAGACATTTATGGAAAAATTGTATTCAACGGTGACGAGTTGATTGGCAATCAAAAACGGTTTGCCGTATGTTACATATCCACGTTATGCAATAGTTTGATGGCCTTGCTGTGCAGCTGCGATGGGACAGATGCTCGCAACCTAATTCAGTTGCTCGCGATTCCAATACAGATCGAGCAATATTCAACTATACGATCAGGCGAACGAATAATGGGAAAAACGAAATATGACAATTTCTTCATGAATAACAATTGACTTGGAAGCATTGAACGGATGCGGAAATAAAATTTTGAGAGATGTGCAAAACCGAAAGGGTGTAATTATAACGAAAATTGATGAGCCACCACAACATCTTAGCGTTATCTTTACTCTCGATCCGTCGAGAGATCCTAATTTTGGATTGAACAATAAGGTGGCCGCGTCGAGATGGCATGCAACATTCGGAACGGGGTCGAATGAATAAAAAGCCGCCAAATATTCAATCTGCATATTAAATGCGGTGATGGGCCCTTGGCGCACAAACAAAGCACCGATCTCCCAGCGGAGCAACTCCCTCGGGTGCCCTTTCTATCAATCTATCTATGGATTGAATCTCATTTCGTCGACTTGTGCTCGCCCACTGAGCTGTTTTTGACAAGAACTGACATGAACGTGTTGACTGGTTTTGCCATCTTGTCATGTGCCGCCGCCGGTCCAATTTTCTCAGTTGGTGGGCTCCCGATGGTAACAATGTCTATTGTCTTGTCATATGCGGTAAACGGTAATCCTTTACGGTAAGGAGTTTTTTTGAAGAGCGGATGTCATGATTGATGTGGGAAATTACATGCATAGATTATTTTTGTTGATTACCTATGTATGTTTGAAGAAAATAAATGGGAGAAATAAAGGAAAAAAATGTAAGAAAGCAAGAAATATCAACCTAACTGAGGAAATTTCAAAATCGTACAATGAATAATACATTTGAGAGTATTTTAATGACAGTCATTCAATTTGTGACTCATTGAACCAAAAGAAACATATGCGGGGAAAGACCGTTGGAACTCACTATCTATTGAACGCATTTGATAATGCGGAGATGAATCACTTATGCAATAACATGAGCGATGTTGATTTATCATAATGAAAAAAAAAACTAAAACGTCATTGTGCGGCGAATCGTTTCCAAATTCGATTCGGAATGCTAGGCCTCTGAGTGTTCTTGAAAACGATAAACGAAAAGGAGGCTTTCAAATTTTCGACGAAAGGAGAAACAAAAAACACAACACAAGGGCAATTTTCAATAACGCCAAGTAAATCATGCTTATACCAATTTTTGCTTGGAAATATTATTTATAGTATAATAAATTATGACGAAGCGAAAACGTTAGAGTAAAATTTTATAGGAGAAATATCACGGCGCAACATGCATAATCGGAAAAATGACAACATCATGTTCTTGCGATCGCTCTAATCGATGTTTATGTCGCAAATGGGATGCCTGTGGCCGACAATTTTTGTTTGTTTAAAAATTCGGAAATGTATTTCGTTTTTTTTTGTAAATATGTATCATTCAACTCCCCCCCATTTCCTTAGAAATTGATATCGTTTGATATAACCATCCAACCTGTATTTGACACGAAGGGGCGCTTCGTTGAAATCAAATTGAATCTACGAGCACGACGTCACCAAGATGAGGAAAACGCTGCAAATTTGATTTTTAGTATAGTTGAAAAACGGGTCATTGCCGACGGTGAATACAGAAAAAGCAGATAAAAAGGCACCGGGTGGTGATTTGAAGCAATTAAGATTCTTATCAGCTATGGTAATTTATGTCTGCCGGTGGCGATACAAACCGTTGCAAAGCATTATATAGTGGTTCCGAATAAGGAGTGTGAGCGGAAAAAAATGGCCAATTGGTGACAGACACAATGCCGTTTTTTTCCACGATTATTCAAATATTTACGACCGATTCTCACATTATTATTATTACCGTAAGAATAAACAGCCGTAAAAATCATTCTGAGAACCACCGCGATCGCGTGCATTGCACATCACATAAAACCCATGATTAGATTTTAGGTAAAAGCTGTAAAAAAAAAAAGAGCGGGACGCGCACATGGGGTAAATAATAAACGCGCAAATGCATTTTGGTGGTGCTCCATCGTTTATTTGGCAATGTGATTCATTGGACAAGATGGTAGTAGTACAACATGTAGTTGCTGCGTACTCTTGGGAGTTAGTGACGCTTTTTTGGTCAAATGCGGCCAAAAAAAAAACTTAT